TTCGCACGGTCGAAGCGAAATAATCGATTTTCCAGGTAAGTTAGTAGTGCGTTTTTGATAGTTTTCTAGAGCAGTCGTAGAAAAAAATATTTTTTGTTATTTGAGATATTTGTGTATGTTTGTATGTTGTTGACTGTTTAAAATGTGTCATGCTAAAAGGGAATGAAAATGGTGCTAAAAACTGTGATAATAAAGTTGAACAACTACTTATGGGTGGATATCAACTATAAAAATAAGTCTTTTTTAGTTGTTACTTTGTATAAACCCCCACTGGTCAACTATAACTACCTATCTAGTTTAGAGAATATTTTATCTAGCTTGTCCTCATCATATGACTATATAATTTTAATGGGTGATTTAAATATAAACTTTCTTACGAAAACTGCTGACTCTGATTATATGGAATCAGTGTTAGAAATTTATAATTTGAAACGAGTCATCTCTGAACCCACTAGAATTAGTAGAAATAGTGGAACTCTAATTGATATTATTTGTGTCAATAAGGGTGTCAGTGTTATCGAGTCAGGAACATTGGGCATGCTTAATTTAACTGATCATAGACTTGTGTACTCTTTAATTAGCATCAAAGCTCCCAAAATAGGTGATAAGGTTTTATCCTATAGAGATTTAAAACACTTTGATAGGAGGCAATTTGAATTGGAGATACAGGACATAAATTATGAATTTATTTTGGGCCATGAAATGTTGGATGATAAGGTAGCTTGTTTCAGTAACGAGCTGGCTGGCATCTTCAATAGACATGCCCCAACAAAAAAAGCAGTTATAAAAAAAAAGTATAAACCCCACATTACTGACACTATTAGGCAAATTATTAAATTAAAGAAAAAAGCATTCAATAAATTTAAAAAAACTGGTCAAGTTGAACACAAGCACTTTTATCTGGACATTAAAAACTAGGTATCTTTCTTTTGCAATTAGAAGTGAAAAGAAGGCATACATGTCGTTTGAACTTCATAAACATAAAAAAGATACAAAGAAGATTTGGAATAGGATCAATGATTGGAATATCAAGGTTAATAAAAACAGTGAAATACCTATTCATTTGAAAGATGTTGACCAAATCAGTAATTCTTTTGCGAGTGTATGTCAATTAGCTACTCCGATACACAACTTACTAATGAATTTTTATCACGACAATAGGCTGGAGAGCCTTAACAATGTTGAGCTTATTTTTTAAAATATTTCAGAATATGATATCTATATCTATCTATAAGGCATTTAAAAGAATTAAATCTAAAAGTATGGGTATAGACCAAATAAGTTACAATCTTGTTCTTTTTAGTATTGATTGTATTGCTCCGTTTCTAGCTAAGCTATTCAATATATCCTTAGAAACGGGGGAATTTCCAGAAATGTGGCAGAGCGCCATTGTTAAGCCTTTGCCAAAGCAAAATAAAATTGAAAATTTTTCTGAACTAAGGCCAATCTGTCTCTTACCAATATTTGCCAAAATGTTTGAAGTACTAGTGTCTCATATGCTGCTTGAATTTGTAAATACTAATAATATTATACCAGCTGTGCAGTCTGGCTTTAGGAAAAATCATGGAACGGCTACAGCCCTCACTAAAGTGTCTACTGAAGTATCAACTAATATTAACTCATCAAGGGTTTCTTGTCTAGCACTGCTAGACTATAGTAAGGCTTTCGACCTTATACATCACGACATGCTTGTGGCTAAAATGAGGTTCTATGGTTTTTCGGAAGCTGTCTGCAAATAGTTTAAAAACTACCTTCTACTAAGGACACAGGTGGTTGAGCTTGATGAAGCAAGATCTGAGCCTGTTACAACTGGTTATGGAGTCCCCCAAGGAAGTGTACTTGGGCCATTATTATTTAGCATTTACACTAGCGATCTTCCAAAGCAGGTTCGGTTTTGCTCCATCAATCTCTATGCCGATGACACGCAGCTCCTGTTAGGTTTTGCTCCTCAGGATGCCTGTGTGTGTATGCAGAGAATAAATGACGACTTAGACTCGATATTTATATGGTCAAGTCAACATGGGTTGGTTCTAAATGCTAGTAAGAGCACATATATAATTATGGGCTCTAATGCCGTCAGAAGTCAATTTTTACGTTTTAATTTCACTACACTGCACATAAACGGTACTACTCTACCTAGCTCAGAATCAGCAAGGAATCTGGGTGTGACTTTCGATGAAAATCTTAACTTTCAGGTGCACGTCAACAAAAAATTGTCATGTTTTTATGCTGTACTTAAGAGTTTGTACCCCTTTAAGGATAATTTACCTCGCAATATTAAATTGATGTTAGTGGAGACTCTTATTTGGTCACAGAAAATGCTTGTATGAGATTTATTTTTAGTATTAGAAAATTTGACCATATTACGCCAACCTATGTAGAGAATAAGATACTAAAATATGAACAGCGAGCAGCTTTGCACTTTGGTCAATTCGTTTATAAAAATTTTCAATCTGGATGCCCATCCTATCTCTCAGAATATCTTATAGTAAGACAAGACCTTCACAGTCGCTGTCTGAGAAACATCATACGATTTCAAATACCATGGCATATAACCGAAGGTTTTAAAAACTCATTTTCCTACCGAGCGGTGCAACTACTTAATACAGAGGTGTATGAATTTATGATTTCAGGTTCACTGGTAAACTTTAAAAAGAAGTACAAGGCTTCTCTGCTGGAATTAATAGCGTAGCTTAGAATAAGGCATTGAATTCCTTATTTATTATTTATTTATTTACTTTTTCGGGTAGCATGGAAGAACACATTACGTGAATGTTACCTTTTATGTAATTTCTTTTGACGCATAATAAACGTTATTATTATTATTATTATTATTATTATTATTATATTTTTATGGACTAGAAGAAATAAAAGGTTGTTACTCTGGGGGGGGGGGGGGGGGGGGCAATTTTGGCACCCTTTGGTAAATTTGAATGGGTATAAATTAATAGGAATGGACATCCATCATAAAAAATTGAAAAGAACGCATTTGATGTAGGGGAGAGTAGTACACAATGGATCAATTTTCGGGCTTAGATTTTTTTGGCAAAACTGAAAAGGATCTTAATTAATGTGAAAGTTTTAAGCTAAAGGTTTATGTTTAACAAAGTCGAATTAAATAGATAAATGCTCTAGAATTATTAGAGAGACTAAATTTGGTGATTTTTTGTTGTATCGACAATTGATCCATTGTGTACCATATATGGTACAGAATGAAACGAACAGTGGTAAACAATGAAACTACCTGTGGTGTACAATAAAACGCTGACAATTTGTAAAATAAATATTTATTTCTAATAGAACAACAGTAGACAATGTTCTCCAATGTTTACAAAAACAAACATGAATTCTGAAAAATTGTTATATTATTTCAAAAACAAATCCGCACTAGCCCGTTTCTTAGTTTTCCAGCTTTCAGGACATTTTATTTTATTTCTATGTGCCATCTCGTATGCAAGTTTTCTTACTTTTGTTGTATTTTTCCTACTTTTCTTGTATTTAATCCATATATCATTTCACTACATTTTTTTAATATATATTTGCATAATGAGTCTTCTTGAACCTGTGAAAAAACAGCTCTCACCATTGCTCTCACGGAATAATTCGGCTCCATTTTTTGCATTTGGGTCTTCCCGTTTCTTCAATATCTCATTCTTATAGGGTGGTGAATTTGACATTATGCATTTCTGCGGCTTGTCTCAATGATGTGCCCTTATTAGGAACTTCTGCTACAGCAGCTGCCATGCCTTCTGGAGTAAAAGTAGCCCTTGTCCTCTCTTCCTTTTTTTCGGACCATAATAAATCCAAATAAACAAAAAAAAAAAACTAAACTTTATTAATGTAACGCATATGCGTACTACACGAATAAATGTTGTTATAACATTACAACTAATACAATAATATGTTTAATAAAAAACAATGTTTTACAAAATGTTTTCAATGTGGTACACAATGATACATGTATCATTGTGTGCCACCGTGTAAGTTTCATTGTGTACCACCGGGTACCTGCTGATATTCAAAGTAAAAAAACACGTTAAATATTATTGAATCAATCTGAAATTATTAGGTTATGTTGCCAATAAACTCCCTATCCTAAATGTATCAGTCCCAAACAATAAAAATAATATAAAAAAATATCAAACCTTTTTACAACAAAATTCAGGAAAAAACTTCAGGGTCCAAAAAACACAGTTTTGTTTGCCACGTTCATGAAAATGCCGGTATCACCGCCAAAACACACTGAATGAAGTAGTAAACAACTGACGTACGTTGGGTCGCGGTGAAGTCAATGTGGCGCGAAATTTAAACAAAATAATTAGAATGTTTCATTGTGTACTGCGTTTCATAGTGTACTACTCTCCCCTACCTATAATAATTAGTCATCAAATACATTTTTCAGTTTTTTACAATGGATGTCCATTTATAACCTATATATTTATATTCAAATTTACCAAAGGGTGGGCACAAAATGGCGACGTTTTCCATATGAACATGATATGAACATATTACACATTAAAGAGCCAATAAAAAATAAGACAGTTTGTTGCCACTGTGGTTTAATAGAGTCACTGTAGCACAAATTAATTCGCGCCCTCATTAGCTGTATTCCTTTCAAGAGTTTGAAACACTAGAGCTACTCGCTCCGGTGTTAGTCGCCCCGATTTGAAAGGAACAGATGCGCTGGCTTTCATGCATTTAGGGCGGGTATTATAAAACTACTTTGAAAGTTAACTTAAAGTTAACTTCTGAAAATACATGTAATTCAAAAAGTTAACTGCAAGTTAACTGTCAAAGCAGTTTTATAATACCCGCCCTTAATGGTTTACTTGGGGCTTGAGTACTCAGGTGCAACAAACACTTTTCGAAAGGAATAAGCGCGTAAAGCCCCGGAGCTGTTCCGGAGCTCTTCATAGGTGTGAAAGGAACCGTCAAATAGAAATCGCTACATATGAAACACGTCACTGTCAATTGTCAGTCATGTTGACACGACACAACAAATAAAAAACAAGGTTAGGGTTGGACTGTAATTAGTGTGATGGTGTGATTAGATTCTTGATTCTTCATTGATTCAATGACGACAATTGATGACACACCAAAAGGTGTATGTATTTTGTAGTAGTTGAAATAAAATAAAATTATATTTAGGGCGTTCATAAAAGTTTCCACGAATTATAGTGAAATTTAAACATAAATAATGCAGTTCATGCTGTTGTTTAGTCGTCAAGGAAAACTACGTTTACAAAAATGGTACGTTGCACATCCAGACAAATTGAAAAAGAAGATTACCAGAGAACTTATCACTACTATACTGGCTAGGAAACCTAAAATGTGTAGTTTCCTTGAGTGGAGAGACCTTAAAATAGTGTACAAACGATATGCTAGTTTGTATTTCTGCTGTGCAATAGAACAAGATGACAACGAACTTCTTACTTTGGAGGTCATCCATAGATATGTGGAACTCCTGGACAAATACTTTGGTAGTGTTTGTGAGCTTGACATTATCTTTAACTTCGAGAAAGCTTACTTTATATTAGACGAACTGATGTTGGGAGGTGAAATACAAGAAACTAGCAAAAAGAACGTTCTCAAAGCGATTGCTGCACAAGATCTTCTGCAAGAAGAAGAAACGCCTCAAGGTTTCTTTGATGATCACGGACTTGGCTAGGATAAAAATAATGATGGTAGTGAAGTGATGCCCCAGTAGCAGTATTGTATTGAGAAAATCTGTAGAACTATCAGTTGTTTCATCCAGTGGGACCTAGATACATTTTAACTAAATTTCTTTGTAGGTAAATGATCTAATATAAATATAATTATTACTAGGTACCATGGATAATTGGCATATAAAATTTACAACAACAATTTACTTTACATTTAAAATGTATTTCCTTTAATCAAAATGTGAAAAAGGGTTTCTGTTTCTAATATAAGACACCTGATGTGATTTACAATCTAGCTTAAAAATAGAAAAACATTAAATTCACGATCCATTTAGAGCGAGTTCTAACGTTTTTTTAGCATTCAACTTAGTTCAAGATTTTATTTTATTTTAAAGTCCTTAAGGGCCCCATACACTACGATGAAACACGACGGTTTTCATCGCCACGATGAAACATGTCGTTCTAAAACCGAAGTGTGTAATAGAAAAACACGGCGGTTTTCTACAGGACCCCACAGGCATGATGAAACACAACGGTTTTCATCACCATGATGAAACATGTCGGTTTTCATCACCATGATGAAACACGTCGTTCCAAAACCGAAGTGTGTAATAGAAAAACACGGCGGTTTTCTACAGGGCCCCACAGACTACGATGAAACACGACGGTTTTCATCGCCACCATGAAAAATGTCGTTCCAAAACCGAAGTGTGTGGTAGAAAACCGTTCGTATGTACGAAATGTTGAACCGTCATGCCAAAAATCAAGCTCAGACTGAATTTTAAACCAACGATGAAACATGACGGTTTTCTACCACACACTTCGGTTTTGGAACGACGTGTTTCATCGTGGCGATGAAAACCGTCGTGTTTTATCGTAGTCTGTGGGGCCCTGTAGAAAACCGTCGTGTTTTTTTATTACACACTTCGGTTTTAGAATGACGTGTTTCATCGTGGCGATGAAAACCGTCGTGTTTTATCGTAGTGTATGGGGCCCTTTACAGAGAAATTTAATTCGATGTCATTTTTTTTTAAGTCAAGATGCAACCTCCCCTAAATATTTATTTGTAAATACCCACCATTGGCTTCTGTCCTGAGAGAATAATAATAATTGTTCTTTATAAATCAACCTCAAAAGTTTGCGCTAGTAACTTAATTTAACCACAAATACATTTCTACAAAAATGTGATTTGTTTTTTCACCAAAACAAAAATGACATGTCCATATTTGAAATTATGGGAAAATAGAACTAGAATAGAAGATTTCCCTCAGCTCAACTAACAATAAGTAAAGTTTTGAATTATTGTGTCGCCTGTTTATACTTTGCTCATTGATTTTACTGTATGAATCGTATTGTCAAATATTTATTTGGGGATAATTAGAAACTTATGTTCCACCTAACAATGCAGGAAGCAATTTGCACCCAATGAAATATAGGAATATATAGAATATACGTAAAAGAAGTACATAACTGTTTTCATACCTATAGGACTCGCTACATCAGAAACAATTTTTAACCATGTTTTCGAATGATAATTTTTATCATAAAATTATATTCAGATGTAGGTACATATAATTTTGTTGTGGCTAAAACAGGCATTCAATTTCCTAATACTGTGTTTGCCACAATTATTATATATCCTAAAATATTATTTATTGAATTTTTGCTGATTGCTGAATATAGTTTTTCATTTTTCAGATCATTGATGATTAGTTTTAGGATAATTCCAATCATTCGAATAATAAGTACATATTGTTAAAATTATTAGTTGATAAAGGGATTATCTACGTTTTTTCATATTAGGTAACACTGCCTTTTTAACATTCATTATAGTTATAATATTCTACATAATAAAATAGTATAAGAATTTTCAGTTGTATGCAACATCCTCTTTTAACTTGAAAGTGCTTTTTAAAACTGGTCACTTTTAACAATTTGTATTCTAAATAACTTACCCAAACTAACACAACAAGTGACCAGTTTTAAAAAGTGCTTTTAAGTTAAAAGAGGATTTTGCATACAGCTGTATAACTTTTATTGTTTATTACTCTAGTAAATAAATTTGTTATAAATAGTTGTCCTTGGATTTTTTTGTTTGAAACTCTACATATTAAAGAATGGGTAACACCGGTTTACAGTGTACTTACCTAATTAACAAAAAGAACGCAAACCAAGAGAAATTTTTCTTCTTACATTTCATAAAAGCTGAACTAACTTAAATAATTTATCAATAATTTTTTAAATTTAACAATCTTTCTGCTTCAATATCTGGAAGCAAATCATCAAATTCTGTTTGCGACCTGAGGTTAAGTCCGATCTCAGTCCTAATACATATTTTCCTAATGTGTGTACATTTATTATCTGAAAACCATACACTCCAGAGAGAATTTTATGATTTTATCGAGGGTTTTCTCCATAAGATAATGGACAAAGGCGGCGAAATTAAATTCAGTTGCTATAAAACTCAAGGATTTACCTACTAAAAAAAGTTTTAAAACAAAATTACTTCCACTTGCGCTTGCAGTTGTCCCCCATCTTAAATAATTAAAGCATGAGTTTACTTTTTTGGCATTAACTCTTTCCAGTTATGATAAATCTGTTACGAAAAATCCTCTAGAGAATAATATTGTCGAGACCGGAGCAAAAAAATAAACAGATTATAGCAGTTGCAACCGTTATTGGAATTGAAAACTTTTGAATAAATTGTAAACTAGTAATCCCATAGCAATTAACCATTGTAGTTTCGATTGCTTGGAAACGTTCCCTCCCTTTCCCTTTTTTTAGACATCAGAGCTCAGAGGTAATTTAATAAACTGATCCTATCTTTAGCTTACTGAACATTTTCACACTCAAAATGTCAAGTTAAATCTTATGGTAGATTCCGAGGGGAGTACCTAGGTGACCTAGGAAATCACTGTACGTTTTGCCTGGGAGATACTTCAGTAAGTAAAAAAATAAATAGCCAGTAATACCTAACAGTAGGTGATAAAGAATTTAATATAGGTACCTAACTAATAGTTCATGTTCTTTGTGGTGACAAGTCATATGTGAGGTAATAAAACAAAAAAATTAATTGACTCAGATTTTTATTTGGCAAAGGTTTTACTTGTAGAAAGTTATTACAAAAAACGTATTTCGTAAATGCTAAAATTAGGTAACTATAAAGCAGATTAAAAAAAAACACCGTAAGATAAAAACGACACATTTCTTCACAGTTTTAAGCTTTCAATCAATCTGACTGACAATTATTTCGTAGGCTTACATTTTTCAAATTTATTTCTGAGGCTTGAGTGCTGTGTTTGAAACAACCTCCATCTATAAATGAGAAAGATGCAACAGGTACTGAAGACTCTTTCAATTGTTTCCACATATAAATGAAATAGATTATGGAAGAAATATACCTTACGGTTTATAATTATGGCCCCATAAATAATTACAAAAATATTTAAAAAAAAACATTTGCATTGATATTTTATGTGAGGACATCAAACACCCTTCTGCTACTTGCCTTGTGATGCAGGTATTTTAAATATTGGAGCTAAAAAGCATATAATATTTTATAGGGTTTTGATCAAAAGTTTGCAATATTTTTACTTCTATGAATGCTGGAAAACACGAGCACTTGTTCAGAAATCCTGAGCATTTTATCAATGTATATTTACAAAAACAAATATCAACAAATGGAGAGGTAACTTTATGGAAGGTAATAACAGTTAGATAAGTACACAAAACTTTACAAATTGTTTTTCGTTGTAAAAAAGATATGTATCATCCATCTCTAGAATATTCCACTGAGTTAGCCATTATCTACTTGATGAAAATTCATTTTACCTTACTAAAAGACTCTATTGAATTTCCACAAATTATTTTATCATCACACATGTTTGGCAACAGTATTTTCTTCAGTCGGACACTAATATGTATCGACATATAATATGTTGTGACAATAAAATAATTTGCGAGAATTTATAATGCCTACTAAATAAAAACATACATGAATGGCTAGTTTTATGAATATTGGACGAATGCAATGATACCGTTAGAGCCTTATTCAATAAAAACAATGCATACTTTTGGATCATACTTCCAAGCAAAAAAATAATACTACATATATTACATTTTGATTTGAGGAATTATTCATATTTAGGGAATGGGACATTTTGTATCTGTCTATGTTTAAAACAGCAGATTGAGAAAAGATCACAGATTTATTTTAAAAAGACAAAACTTATTAATGAACACTTGCTATGCTTACTCTCCTTATTTCTATTAATAGTACACTTTTATCTAAATTGAAATTGTAACTGAAATTTACAACTACATTATTTAATAATTAATTTAAAACCTATATGGACCACACAACACATACTTGAAAATAAAGGCAAAATCAGCATTTGTGATATTTTTTATAACCGATGAACTAATTTTTAATAACAAGATTTTATGGTTTCGATTTTCACCTCAATTCCCCACATAAATTAATTGTTGAAAACACAATTGAATTGAATAGTGAACATTTAATTTGGAAAAAAAAAAAACAAGAACAAAATATTCAGCAAGAGGCATTAGGTTTGAATGAGCAATGGGCGGAGTTTTGTGAAGTGGCAATCAACTTTAGGAAAACAATTTTTGTTTACAGTTTAGAGGCCTCTCTCAACACAGAAACAAAAAGTTTTTTGCGAAATGCATTATTCTTATTCTACGATCTGCAACATGTTTAAACATTTTTGGGTTTGCTTTATAGTCTCAAGCAATGGGCAAATAATATTGTTTGGCATAAAAAAAATTCAATCCAATGTTTTCATTTCAACTCCTGTGCATATGCATATTTGTTTACTTGATATTCTTGTCCCCATTTAAACAGTTTTGTGGTGAGATAATTTTTGTATCTGATACAATTTCAAAAATCAAAAAAACATTATGGTAGAAAGTAGAAACAGATACAGGGTTTGTTGAAAAGAAAATACTTTATTCAATCCAGTCCGTCAGTTATTATTATCACTAGTGCTACTATAAAAATATCTTTATTCCTTGGATATCTTCGCAGGTTTGTGCGTTTTACATCAAAACTTTCTCACAAAAATTACATGCTTTCTACTAACCTGCAAACACAGCCACAGAAAAATATCAACAAATAAATCTAATTCGATGACATTTTGTGCATGAGGTCTACAAAAGCCTAAGTAACTTCAGGTATATGATACTGAAAGTACCAAAAAAAACATACTGGGTCTACTATTAATTGCACAAGAACTCTAAATATATTACTTCTAATTTTTTAAGCATATAAAAATAATCAATTGGTAAAACTAGATTCTATGAGTTAAAACAAAACTATGTCATCAAAAGCGTATTTCAATACTATACGTTTTTTTATCAATAACCACTCGCAGAATGAGTTTCTTTTTTGTAAATTTATCTAATATTAAATATTATCATTATGATCAAATACATATATAACTGAACTATAGAATTATTGGTAAAAAAGGGTTTTTCGCAAGTTTGAAGAAAACTAAATGATTATTAATTAAAATATGCCACTTTCAGTATTTCGAGATCATAAGAAATACCTCTATCACTAATATTATTATTTTTTTTACACCTTATTGGTTTAAGTAACATGCTAGGTAACATAAATGATTATTTAAGATGTTTTCGAACCTGTGACTCAATTTTATCACTATTGTCATGATAACTTATGTAATGCTTTGAAATAACTCAGTTTGGTTTGATTGGACACAATTATAAGTTGTAAATTTCTCTTTCTAAAACGAGAGCTCTTTTACATCTATTTCTGTTTTGTAGTAAGGAGAAATAACTTATCGCAAAATCGAATAAAAACATAAGAATATGTAGGTACAGGGTACTTGATTATATTTAAGCCCATACCTACAACGTTTACTATTTATTTATATATCAAAAATGGCTCTAGCAAATGTGATCAATATATATATTTGGAATCAGGAAGAAAAGATCTTTCATTTTATCGCATAATATACAGTGTGTCCCATTAAAAAAAATTAAAGTTGTCTACGTTTTTCCATTTTCCAATGCGATTTTGTTTCTTCTGATAATGTTAAAAGAAAATAGAGAGAAAAACTGTCAAGTTTTGATTTTAAATTTTTTTTCTATCCTAAATAGTAAAGGCTGTAGGTATGGTATTAAATATAATCAAATACCCTGTAACAAGGTTATGACTCGTAATATAAACACAAAGTAAGTAGGTACTTGTTTTGAGTATTTTAATAAAATCTGCAAGGTGGCAGGATATTGTTATCCGAAATAAACTCTGAGGTGAATAAATGAAGTTCTATCATTTTCCTAGAATATTACATATAATTGTTCATTTTCACATAGTGTGAGTTTTTATCCCATGCAAGCTGTTGAATGTTTACCTTTTTATAAAAATAAGATACTGAAAGTTGCATATTATAGTATATCTATAGCTCAGTTATTAAATATTACCCAGCTCTCTATATGCACACCGTAAATAAAACTAATATGTTAAGCTATGACTGCGTATACGAATATTTTACAAAAAGTACCAAAAGGGCACCGCCAATAACTATCAACATATTCATATATTTGGCTAGGCGCTCGTTCTAAGTTTCGTGTACGTACATAAATTTATTGCTTTGTGATTATAATTTTAGATTCCATAAATGAGAAAATTTTAACTATACAAACTTAAGGATTTCTTTATGCAAATGGAGGTGGTGCCTTTGTATAAATCTAAGATAATCCACCATTTTTAAATTTAGTTTACTATAACATATTATTGAAAGTGCTAGGTATAATAATAAAATACAAAAATAAAGAACTCAACTTCCCTAGTCGGACATACATATAAAAAAACATAAGTGGATTTTGGTTCACTAGTACTAGTGAAAGAACAACAACCAAAATGTAATTGCTGTTATTTGCTATATTGCATGCATATGGAATAAAACAGTTCCTCGGAGAAGCTCCCCATTAGAAGTCGCATGATAATTTTGTATACATTTAAAGGATTAGGACAAAAATATATTATTTTGTATAATTCATGTTAACGAAAAATCTTTGTCACACGTCAAGACATAAGATAGTAAGGGTAATTTTTTTAAACGCCATCTTTCCAAACTCTGTCAGATTCTCCAACTACATCCAGAGAGACAGCGCTATATGTATCTTTTGCGTTTAGTCTCTATATTCATGGGCTGCGTTCAGATTGAACGTCGGGTGTCGCCCGAGCGCGTTCCGACCGTTCAGATTGCTTTGGGTAAAATTTACCCAGCCGTTCAGATTGTCAGTAGATTTTTACCGGACGACGCCCGGGCGCACACTTTTGCATCCCATAAAATAGCAAGATAAAATTTGCCCCGCATGCGCGTTTGTGTTCTAACCTTAAATAATAAAGGCAAATATTGTAAATAATTATTTTTGCGAGTTATGGTGGGTTTATCTAAATTCTTCGTTATCCTCATCAACTCTATTTAAAAAAAAGGTGCCCTCTTTCTTTTTTTTTGTTTAGTTTGTGATGCTAAATTGATAGCAATCACTGACACTAGCACATCCTCGTCGTCCGAAGATGAAGCGTCCTCATCATTCAATAACTCTTTAAATATAAAGATACTCTGGCTTCTTCCATAGTTGGTATTTATTTAAAAAATTATGAAGAAAACGGCAAAAATGTTAGAATCATTGAGGTTATAAAGAAAGAATGCGTCTTGGCCGTTCAGATTGGGCGAATCGCCGGGCACACACGGAGTGCGCTCTCTATCGGGTGCGCTCTTCACTGGACGTCGTCTGGACTCTTCAATCTGAACGCGCCCATGTATTGAGATATTTGTACTTGAACTGAACACCCTGTACTTAATTTGTGTAAGTTTATAAAATTAAATGTAATTTCTTCCTTCTAAGGGAGGCAAATTAATAAACAAATTAGATGAATAACTATTGTGGCTTATTTCCGGATGTTACTTAGTGAAGCTCTTATTTGATTCCATCTATGTAAAACAAAAACAGTAATAAAATATAAAAACATAGGTATCTATAACACTTATTAAAAAAATAAAAAATAAAGCTAATTATATATTTTTTACTAGATCCTGGGAATGCGAATGTACAAAAGCTGCTGTCGAAAATACCATCACATTTTCTGTTGTTGAGATTTAAATAGCCTTAAAAAATTATGGTTTATCACGAAAAAACGATTTAACGGGTTCATATATATGGTATCTTAATGCAACTATTACTGGAATGTTCCCAAAAAAGGAATTATCAGTTTCTAACAAGATAATAATGACAGCAACTAAAAATACTGTAACAGCGAAGAGTGCTGGTAGAAAGGCACCAATGACGTTGAACCTTCTACCCTTCTCATGCAAACTCTGCTCTGTTGGAGGCGTATTACCGGGCATGTAAGGGCGCGCTTCTATTTGAGAATGTGACAGTGGTGTCGGACTACGACTAGACCGATGTGATGGATTCGTATTATCATATCGATAAATATTATCAATCAATTGAGATTCTGATGAGGAATGTTCGAATGAATCACGGAAATAGTAATCACTAAATCTATCAATGGAGTCGTCCTTATATTTAAGCATGCAGTAGTCTGAAAAAACAATACTTATATATATCTATATTTATATATTTTTTTTAATTACCTGTGCGTATTTTTTTTCCACCTATTGCTTCTGAATCTTCACACACTGTTTCTAAGGCAGCCACATCACTATACCCTTGAACTGGGTTACCATCAAGTCCTGTGAGTATACCAGAACTACTACTACATTCCATATGAGAGCCTCCCACGTCTGAATGACTTGAACGGGGTAAACTATTATAACCTAAATCCAAAAAATAGTAGGTACAGAAAATATCAACCAAGAATATAATTACACATAATATAGAAATATAAGTGATGTGACCAGAAATGCTGCATCAAAAAGAAAAACGAGAAGGACATTTTTTTAACTATGTAATATGAAACACAGCGAAAATTTTAAAACTAAAATATTGACAGCTGATCTAGTTTTGTTTTGTATTCACATTCTGATAAAATTGCTAAAAATATCTTTCAAAGTTTAACCAACTAGAATAATAATTATTTTGGTAAATTGTGATTCATTTAGTTTATTTTCTAGTTAACTATGTTTGCTAAAACGTTTTTGAATGACTAAGAAAAATAGGTCTAGGAAAAACTATAACCTTTACCTAGGTGAGGCTGTAAAGGAGTTGATGGAGTCGCAGGCACACTTGAAGCTTTCCTTCTCATACTAGAGGTCCTTTGTACATTGGGTTCTTTTCTGCTAGGCGAGCCTGTATCATCCAATATCTCTCTTTCGGTTCTGCCAGTATACTTAAACTTTGTTCCCCAGGAAAAAAAGCCACCACCTGATACCACGGATGGGGCATCTGAACTAGTTGGTAAACTATATTGATAAGACTATTGGTTAAACTGGTGCAACACACAACTATTGCGATGTGCATTTAACATTTATTTCTAAGATTCTTGGTACCGCTACAATATAAACAAGAAACATTCAAAACAAGGAAAATATTAAACCAAATTCAAAAAATAACCAAAAAGTAGGAAATAACAAATTTAATTTTTATGTGTTTTAAAGGTAATGATTTAGGGCTGTTGAGTAAGTTTCAAAAAAAAATCTCATACAAATTTATTTTTTTTATCCGTTACATTCTAGTGAAAAAATACCAAAACAAACTACCCAATTTGCTTGGATGGATAAGGTTCAAGAAGGTTGAACCGCATGGCGAGTTTAAAGCCAATATCTCATTCTCGATTTTATTATTTTAAGTTCTAAGAATAACTGAGTCTAAGTTGACCCAATTGGCGTCAAAAAACATAGTTATGCCTATTGAACTTAAATTTGTGGGTACCAAGAAAACTAATACTCATGCAGCAACACTGAGACACATAGACTAAATAAATTGGAACAGACATTTAAAAACGAAAGTAAAAACACACAAAATACTCACGTAAAAAATAGCATTTGTTCCATGGCACATCTCCATATATGCCTACATGCAGCTCCTGTTGGACATTTGAAGCCTACAGTATGTTTTTTCTGGAAATTAATTAAAATTATTATATACAGTGTGTCCCCATTACACCTACCATCCTAGTAGCAACTTTATTTCTTGACCAATTCTATTAATTTTTTGTTAAGTAGGTTTTCAAAATGTGCCCAGGAAGTGGGTACCTAACTTTTTTTTTTGTTGAGCTGTAGTCAATTGGTCACTTTGATAGACTTATTCAATTATGTATCACTTCTAGGAATAATTAACAGATCACCTAAAACCCATCTGTACCAATTTTCATAGTTCCAAAATACAGGGTATGGGTAGATAGAAAAGTTTAATTTATCTATAACTAGGGAGTGTTGGTGCAAGTGATCCTAAATAATAATGCATTGCGGCACTTTTCCAAAAAAAAAAAGAATCGGTACAGTTGGGTTTTTGTTAGGGGAGATTTCAGGCAACAGTCTGGTGTAAGAATTATTTTGAAAAATCCCTAAGTAACCTACCTTAGGGATTACCGAGGGGATTACCAAAACTTGAGTCTATCAAACTTGCCATTATCACAGCCTATAAATAAGGTTACCCACTTTTTGAGAATTATTTTCAATAGGTACCTACCTACTAACTAATTACAATCTTGAAAAAGCTACTTACTTCGTTATAATTTAAATGAATAATAAACATTTTTCCCTCATAATTTATTTTGTGAATATCAGGCCACCTAAAATGATGCGTCTTTCTACTTCCTTGGAATGTTAAAATACCACTATAATTGATTCCTAAGTAAAGTTGGGTGCCTTTATGATCCTGTAATAAACCCTATTTAAACTTGGGCATCGTGCTACTTCCTGGAGACTACACCATTTTTATGTTACATAAAAAAGGATGCAGTCTCCTATTCCTAACTTACTTTCACTGGATGAGGATCAACCCCGTAAGTATCTAACTGGCAAGTTAATTTTAAAAAACAATTTTCAATGTGTGACTGCTCTTGACCTTTCAATTGTTTTTGATGTATCTCCATTGCTTTTTCTTCTATTGTTTCAGTTTGCTTGAGAAGTACTTTGAGATCTGCTACATAATGGCCTACATGAATTTCTGGATCATAGTCACCCAATTCCCCTAAAGAATAAAATTTTGTTGAATTTTATCCTATCCAACAATTCGGAAAATATATAAACTTTATTCCAAGCATTACCCTCAATCTAAAATGTAATTCCGTTTACTTTAGTGATTACTGTCATTCAACATGACACTTTCTAAATAACATTCTCTAAAAATTTCAGAGGTACTCAACTCAATAGGGTACTTACTTTTCTACTAACATATTACATACATAGGTATAAAATATTATTTATTGTGATAACAAACCTTGAACTAATAAAGCCATTAGCATAGCAGCTTCATTGGTGCCACAGTAGAGACGACCATGCAACAAATCTCTTTTTAATTGTAGAAATATTTGATACCTGGTGATTTCTTCTTTAAGTCGGAATGGATCAGGAGGATAAAACTTGACTCGAAAATTAAACAGTACTGGATCTAGGTCTTTTACTTGTTTGACTATTGATTTTCCCAGGTCCAACCAGTGCTAAATAACAATAAAGAAGCCGTGTTTTATTAACATTAAAAGTCTGAGTGGTATGGTATGTTAAAAAAAAAAAACGATTTATCAGGACGTTTATAGAGATAACATTTTATCAAATCCCGAGATTTTTAGCAGAGATTCATGATCAGAAACTGACTTACTCTCTGACCCTGGTTGTCCACATAACGAAGGCCTAAATAATCTTGTTCTATAAGATTAAGTTGTTGACATACATAATTAAGTAACTGTTTTCCTTTGTCGTGGGGCTAGAATGTATATTTCAACAATAAAACCTTATTATTTACTACTTCATGTTTCTTTTGCAAATTTACCCTATATTCACATTCTAATAGTTCTGTGTCTTCCAAAAGTCGTACTGTACATTTAAAAACGATATTGCTGTCATGTTTTGAACCAAATTTCAACATTTTTCATGGGAAAGGTAACTGATTTCTAAATCATCAAGTAATTTAATAACAAACATTAGAAAAATGTATAAAATTAATTAAATGAAAACTTTTGTTTGACATACATTTTCCATTTTCAGGCTTATGTTTGACCTTGACCATTTGACGTTTGACATTTTCGGTCAGGATGTCCGCTTAGTTCACTTTTATCTCGGAGTGCGTTCATAAACTGCGGAAAGGTAGAAGTTTCACACGCGGTGCTCCAAGTGCGTTATCTGTACGTTCAGAAACTGACACGGTGCTGCTATCCGGTCCCACATGTTGTACTCTGGAGCAATAATACTAAATCTCAACTTGTCGCCCATTTTTGTTCCTCAAGAAGACTGATTTCCATTTTCCAGTAAAGAGAATTTTTGAATTTGTTGAAATGGAAGAATATCATTTATTAAGAATCAAATCAATTCAAATAAGCTTTATTTTCAAAAAAAAAAACTCAACTTAATTCTGAAAATAGCATAATTGGATTAAAGCAACTGAAAATAGAATTTTTTGAAAAACTTGTTAAGAAAATAAATAAAAAAGAAAAATCTCTAAAGAAAAACACGGAATTTATCCGCACTACGTCACAACTTGAATTTTTGTTTCCACAGGTAACAAATACGTGTCAGGAAACCAACAATAATTAAAATTCACTTGCCTTGATTGTAAATGCAATTTTAGCTTCGAATGATCGATATTTGAATGGAGTTGTGGAAAAATATGTTTGCAACTCGTGCGCGAAATGTTTTTGGTGAACTCGATCGCTTTTTTGACTCCGCTTAGCGTAGTCAAAAAACTTTCGTTCTCGTTTACCAAAATGATGGCATTTCGCGCACTAGATACAAAAATAACTATTGTCGCGTTTTTTTTCTTTTACATACGATATATGTATGTGTATTGTATGTTTTCTTTATGTATTATTATTGAACTTTAGGTATTATTGATGAAGTTTTATTGCCTAGTGTTTTAATCTTAACCTGCATTGTTAATTTCTTATTATTTGTTTCTTGTATCTAACTACTGTTTTTTTTTGTTCTCTTTTACCAAAGGCGATTTCGGCAAGCTTTGGTTGGTATACCATTTGGTTAACCAATTGGTACCTGCAACGTCATAGAAATGACGTAAGACACCATTTTATTCCGAATTCGTTTGGTAGGTCATGAGAGAGGGGAAGAGACGAGCCTTAACCTAACTCTTTGTTGTTCTTCTAGTTTTGGGAGTGACTAGGTACTGACTGCACCGACTAAAATCAGTAAAATCTATAATCACTAATCAGCACGCACTGTCTAGACAGTACCTTTGAGTAGTAACCTATTGGCTAACTCAGCATTTTCTGTAAATGTAAAGCTTATTCCATAATCCATTCAGCAAAAAAGTTACCCCATATCTGTCGTTCAAAGCCATTTTTTAAATGATCGTTAAACATTATTTGGCAGTCAAAACATGGAAAATGAAGGCGAAAAACAAATATATTTGCTAAAAATTTCAAATTATTCAAATTATAATGAACTTTCATTTATTTACATTTCCCAGAGCAGGACAAAACGAAAATAGACGTAGATAGCGCTATACCAAATAGAAGAACCGTGCTGCTGACCACGGTATCCTATTTGACAGACCAAAAAGGATACCAAAGTCACGGTGACGACATCATTTTCGTATCCGAAATTGGTTGGTATGCATTTGACAGACCAAACAGGGTACCAAACCATGTACCAAAGCTTGCCGAAATCGCCTCAAGTCTAGGGTGACCATATTTTTTTTGTATGAATGCTGTACACATCTAAAATTTTAGGGCAGGTAAGTGGAGTAGGTAAGCACTAGATCCAAATTTTGTCGACTTTATAGCCTGTTTTAGTACCACTTAACAAAAAAAAAAAAATAAAAATGAAAAACAACATAACAGGTCTGTTCGCACAGAAATCACAAACCAGTCAGAGTGGATTTCATTGGTTGAAAACCTTAATGGTTGAAACCAAGGTTGTTTGAAAGAGGTAGGTTAGCTGATAACTTTTATGACGTTATCTAGATGCCTAAACATAATGCAAATGCAAATCTCCATTAGATCTTCCTGATGACGTCATCTGTTTACCATTACCAGACAACCTATTAACTTTAGAAACCTTGGGTTGAAACTAGTTTTCTGACTGTTTCTGACTATTTTCAACCAATGAAGTTCGCGCTGACTGGTTTGTTATTGCTGCAGAAACAGACCTATTATGCTATGTCTTCTTCTAGCGTGGAATAGAGAGAGATAAAAAAGGTAGTCAGCATTAAAAAGAATACTCTGGCCACTCTGGGAGATGATCGCGTAAATGACGAAAATCGCAAATGTAGAAATGTCTTTAGTTATTGAGGGACAATCTTTCGTATTTTTTTTTTAAGAAAAACTTAATTATGATCGGGTCCGAATCGCTGTACGTTTGCTGTACAAAATCAAATGCTGGACAGACTTTGAAAATGCTGTACAATACAACGAAATGCTGTACGTATGGTCACTCTAACCAAGTGTAACAACTTAAGGTTTATACAATAAAAGCTATTTTTGACTTTGACTTTAGCCGCTTTCCAGCTGACGCTTTTGAGCACGCAATCGAGCTTTTGCGCGCGCAAATGCTCCAAGCGCGTGTTTATGTTCCAGCCGCACTGCGCTTCAAGAGCTGCTAACTTTTGCGTTTCAAACACAGAACACTGTGCTGCACCGTGCTTGAAGCACACAGCTGGAAAGCGGCTTTTGATATCAAGTTAGCACTACCAGGGTATTTAAGAAAAAAATTTGTCGTGCAAAAAAAAAAATGTTTTTTGCACGACAAATTTACCTAAAAATCCAATTCATGGATTTTTAAAAACTTCCAAAAATCATAACTTTTTTCTATCATAGATAAAACACACTGGCTAACCGACCGCCGGCGGTGCTTGTATTTTGTGGAAAAGAAAACCGTCTTCCTGCGGCATGGTTTTCGTACATATAAGAAAGCCGCCGAAAATCTAATCTGATTTGTTAATCAAGACGGCATGCTATCAGTGTATTGATAGACGCCGCCGGACGACGGTCTAATGTATTTAAAACATTGAACGCCGGTGGTATATGCCAGCTATTCTACCACATCAGATCAATAAGACAGATGTGGTAGAATCCCTTTTTTTAAGTTAATAAAGGATTCATTACGATATATACTTTAAAAACATGATAACAGCATCCAAGCAAAAACAGGTTACCTATGCTTGTCTATTATTAGTTGTGTTCAAGAAATTTGACTGTTGAAAGTTTGGACCAAGAGTCCATTCATCTCTGATTTCATGCCAGTTTTTATTAAAATATTCAATTACCGAAAGTGGACATGTTTTCATTAAATCTTCGTATAAACTATTGTAAACGTTTCTAGAGTAAGTATACATACCATTTTTGTATAATATCAAGAGTGGCTTGACGTTGGGTAGGTGTTATATTCAATTTAACTGTTTATCTTCCTGTTGAAAGATCTCATTGCATGAAAAATACATATTAAGGATATGCGCATTTGGAAAATGTTCCTTTAATAACCTTCTTTCATTCAAATCTTTATCTGCTATAATGGATTTCATTTCTACCCATGCTGGAATATTTTCTTTAAATTTCGTAAAAAACCATTTGAATGTTTCCACGCTTTCTTCAACACAGTCGGTAAGCTGACATGTAATGCTTATTCAATAAATGAAAATTCAAATGGAAATGGAAGAAATAAGGTTATGGATGCGAATTTTTTCGGCGGTATTCAATAGTTTAAAAACAGTAGACCGTCGTCCGGCGGCATTTATCAATACACTAACAGCATGCCGCCCTTATTAACAAATTAGTTTAGATTTTCGGCGGTTTTCTCATATGTGAGAAGATCTTGCCGCCGGAAGACGGTTTTCTTTTTCACAAATTCAAGCACCGCCAGCCGGCGGTCGGTTAGCCAGTATGTAGATAAAAAGCTGAAATTTTCAGCGATGCTGATCCCAGTAAAGGACTACAATCCCTGAAAATTTAAACTCATTTTTTGTCATAGATTTCAGCTTCAAATATCAGAATAATTTAGTGTATGGAGTTTGGGGAACCCTGAATGATCATTTAGACACAAAATCTCAACATAAAAAAATTTGAAATTTCATCATTTTAGTACAATCTACATAGTAATACCAGTACATTATCTGATGCATATGATAAAGTACAGTTGATACCTACATAAAAAAAAATAATGATAATTGTTTTGGCAGATTTTGCCGCTTGAATAATGATCATTCTCAAAATCAGAATTATTCCCGCTTTTTCAACACATTTTCGAAACAATCTGAAATTGATGTTTGTGCATTTCAGCAAGGATTATTTATCTCAATATAATTATTATACCTAATTGATGAATGATCACTATGAAGTAGGTAATGAAAAAAAGGTACCAGGGTAATGTAAACAAGAAAAATAGTTAAATTAATTACAAGGACAGAGTTCATAACATCCGGTTATAATGCGTCGATGGAGTGTTCTTAACTTTCATTGGTAGAAGACGCTCATATCATTTATACGTCATCGTTTGGCGCGTTCCAAAGAATTTAAAATTTTCCCACTTTTGAAGTGCTTATAGGAAACTCATTTAAGCTCGTAGGATCCTTTTTTTTTCGGCAAATATACCTACCTAACATAGTCCCTCATATAAGATTTTATCCTTAAATTACGTAAGTATTTGAATTTTAGTGAAAAGGCCCATTAACGCACAGTTTCTTTTCCTCCTTAACTATTCTTAAGTGTGCAGAGGTTGATAAGAGATATAAGCCTTCGAACGTACAATAATATGTTTGTGAGGCGATGACTGCGAACAATATATTAGAACAATTAGAAACTTTGGAGCGTCTGAGATGGATTCTAAAATTCTAGTCATTTGAATGAAATCTTGCTTCTAGAAATCTTTTGATTTCGACAAAACGCAATCTCTTGTCATTTATAGATCTCTTTTAGTGCTTGTTCTTATAAAGTCTAGCTGGTTTGTTTCGGATTTCCATTTCCGAGCTACTATGCGATCTCCTAAGGGCGGGTATTATAAAACTGCTTTGACAGTTAACTTTTTGAATTACATGTAATTCCAGAAGTTAACTTTGAGTTAACTCTCAAAGTAGTTTTATAATACCTGCCCTAAATCAAACAACCCAGATTCTAAACCAAACCATCGGCGCGTTGCTAGTCGGAAAAATCTATCTGTCGTTAGCATTAACTATTATTCTCCGAGATATACTTATACATTGAGCTGCAAGTTCAGGGACGGTCTAAGGGCGGGTATTATAAAACTACTTTGAGAGTTAAATTAAAGTTAACTTCTGGAATTACATGTAATTCAAAAAGTTAACTTCAAGTTAACTGTCAAAGAAGTTTTATAATACCCGCCCTAAAACAGTTAATAAAGAGTTCAAATATGAATTAAGGTGTTCTGGAAGAATTAGCTGTGGCATTGGAAACCAAAATCCGATGCCAAGAGATTCCGACTCCAGCACCAATATATGTAATATTACTCTTCCTCAGAAAAGTTATCGTTTTTCGATTGTCAGAATGAAGAGTGAATAATCTTCCGAGACATTTCCAGGAAGGGTGGTCCATAAACACACAAATCTGACGCAGATTGAAAAGAAGCAGTAAGTACACATATACAGGCGGGTGTCCATTTGAAAACTTCCCACCCCGATTATTTCGGAGTAGAACAAATTTCGAAGAAATCCCTGAAACACGTCAACTATATTTTGAAGGGGGATGAGTTTTTATGCAAAATTCACCTCCCCTCCTTCAACCCCCCAGCCCAACAAACACAATTACATACCAAAGACGTACATAAGGTGTAACGTTATGACATAATGTACGTTCGTAAGACGTCGATTTTAGAGCCAAGTACGTCTTGAAGACGTAATGGGCAAGTCGTATGTCACCTCCATAATACGTCTTAAAGACGTACAACTTAGAGCCATAAAGAACGTCCATAATACTTCTTGAAGACCTAATTAGTACATATTGCAAACCAAATAAAAGAATTTTTTTTTACGCAAATCGTTTATTATTTATTCGCTATTAGCTTACTAAACCTGGAATAACAACAAAAGAAAAACATTAATTCAAAAGTATTGCAACTATACCTACATAAATAAAGCATAACCTAAAAGAACTGCAACAACATTCTGTTAAGGATTGATTGGGTTGAGACTCTGGTAAACTAATTAGCACAACACTGTTTCACTGAACTGACTGAACTTATATTGACACAAAAAAAAGCCCTATTTTTGCACTAAATATTGTTTATAAAATCCCCTAAAAGTAATTAGCTGTTGGATTTTTGGTTTTTAGCATCTATAAATGATCCTTAACAATACTGCATTGATAGTTTGCTGTTAAATTTTATGTTACGAAAAAATTTATCTGCCCTGGACTATTTATTTATTATTAAAATTGGGAATATTCTGTCTATAACAACCTTAGAGCAGGTCTACAGTAAAACTAATTTTTAACCTCCTGTTCTGGAAACATCCATCAACATCACAATAACACATAAACTTTTTTGCTTATCTCACTTCTGAATTTGTAGGGATGGGTTTAATTAACTAAATTGTTGCTGTATTTTCTTTATTAAATAATTTTCACATAACTTTTGCACAAAATTTCTAACAGGCTTCTAACCTAACGTGTCGTTCGCCACCTCACATAAGACATAACGACATAACACATAACCTCAATCTCGGAACAAGGATATTACACCTCTCTTTCGCTAACTACCCTAACATCTACGTCATCAATTATCAAATTTCAAAATGACCATAAATGAGAGCGAAATTCAAAGAAAGTCTGTTTTTTTTTTTAAATATAATTCCCCAAATCAAAAATTTAGTAACTATGTTGGCAACACAAGCCTTTTCTACATAAAAAAATTGAAAGCATTGACAATTTCACATTGTATTGCCAACATAATGTCATTTGACTTTTATCTTTAAAAAAAAAACAGACTTTATTCAAATTTAAATTCCTACAAATCTGTTTGTATTTTACACTTTAAACATAAAACCAAAATGGTGGACGTAACTGTACGTAATATGGATGTTTAATATGTACCTACATAAAAGGTACAAAAGTGTACGTCTTATGTACGTTCTGAATAGGTCATATGACGTACGGACGTGAATATGACATAAAATGGACGTTTTAAGTATGTAGTGTGTTTGCTGGGAGAGCCACCCCCTAGAAAATCTTAAATGGGAAGGGGGGTCAAGTGATACATCATTTTGTAGGGTTTTTAATTCCATACATTTTGGTACTAAATTTTAATCCTCAAGTTCAACTGTTTTGGAAATATTGACAGTTGAAAATTGACTTTTTTGCAACTTTAACAGGCTGTAAAACCTAAACGGTTAATTTTAGACGCAAACCGATTTTACTATCCTATCTTAGATTTTTATAAACTATCATTTGACACCAATTTTGAATTTAATCTATGGTTGAAAATTTTAGTTAAATTTAATCTCCAGTTAAATTGAGAATTGATGTGAAATGATAGTTTATCAAAATCTAAGTCAAGCATGTAAGAACGGTTTACCTCTAAAATTAACCGTATAGGTTTTACAGCCTGTCAAAGTTGTAAAAAAGTCAATTTTCAACTGTCATTATTTCCAAAACAGTTGAACTTGGGTATTGAAATTTAGTACCAAAATGTATGGGATTAAAAACCCTGCAAAATGATGTATCACTTGACCCCCCTTCCCATTTAAGATTTTCTAGGGGGTGGCTCTGGAAGCTGGGGGGTTGAAGGAGAAGAGGTGAATTTTGCATAAAAACTCATCCCCCTTCAAATTATAGTTGACGTGTTCCAGGGATTTTTTCGAAAGTTTTTCTACTCCGGGATAATAGGGGTGGGAAGTTTTCAAATTGACACCCTGTATGTATGTACCTACCTCTAAATAACTCAAATTGGGGAAAAGCCAGCAGAGTCATACAGCATCTCCAAATTAATATAGGTACAGAATCTTGGATACTACTGCGATTCATCAGGAATCAGTATGAAAAATAAAACATCAGCTACATGGGCACCTTAATTCGTCGAATGTTGAGAAGCTCTGAACAACATCAAGATTGGCACAGCATCAGAGCCCAATGATAATAATTACTTATCAATAGCTAACATTGTATAACATCATAAGAGATATAGTATAAGTACAATTACCTAAGTACTTACTATTAAATCAGGAAACTTTCGTGGCTCGATTTATGATAATATATTAATGAATAGCGGGGATACGGCCAGTTTTTATTTTAAAAAAAACTTTTTTTTTGTAAAAGCTTTCGCAATTGATGTTCAATTGCTTCTTCAGTTACAAAAGTTGAGTTAAAGAAACTACTCAAAACGAAATAAGGACTGCTTTTAGGAGCACCTTGGTTTTATTTAAATTTTGAATAACCCTGGTAAAGTGACTATTTCCATTTACAATATACCTAGACACAGCCTCCTAGATAAACAAATAAAGTGTGCACAACAATAATTTTATATTGTGAATGGAAATAAACACTTTATAAAAAAAATACCAGGATTATTCAAAATTCAATAAAAACAAAGGTGTTTTTAATAGTGGTCCTTATTTCGTTTTGACTAGTTTACATCTATATGTATACATTGAATAATTTGTGTTCTATTATACATCAGAAATATTTATGAATAATAGGTATTTTGAATCTCCCGGCTACCCTCGCATTATTCAAAACGGGATGCGCTTGGCAACGTTGGAAGTGTTGCAAAGGCCGCACTTTGAGGGCTTTTGTGCTTTTGTCTTCTCGTGTCCTCGTCTTCGTCATCGATGGTGCTGTGGTCCACTGTCAGAATGCGGGCGTTGTTGTCTGCTGACGACGTGTTGTTAGTCAACAAATTCGAAAATCAAAACAAAACGCAGAAAATTAACATAAGCATTGGAAGTTGTATTTTTAAAACTATCAAGAGTAGAAATGGCCTTATTAACATGGATATTTAAATTTGATTAGGACGGAAAGGGACCGCCGAACCATGAAGTTTTCTCGATGGGCCCTTATTATAACCTTAGTAAATGTGTTGCTTTATGTGGAAAAATGCAGCGCCTCTTTAAATTTATACTTAAGAACTCAGGAAGTACAAAGACTTTTAGGTAAGATTTTATTCTCATAACAATTATTAAATGTTAGTAATACCTATAGTTTTCCTTCATATTTTAAATTTGCATATTCTTTATTGCTCAAGCTTAAACAAGATAGGTAGGTACTAACCCCTAACCCAGGTACTAACTTTCTAGCACTCTGTCTAAACCCTAAACCTGACTCTCAAAATACTTTTTAATTGAAATTGAACACCAAAAGGTGTAATTTCTGCTTAAATACATAAAGTTGAATTAGGGGATAGGGGACATATTTCTTCATTGAGTTTGAGATTACATGGCATTTTTTCAAGCCTAAGTAAGACTATAGTTTAATTGAAAGAAAATATCTTAAAATTCATTATAGTACAAAAAAATTAGGTACCTACCAGCTACTCTAATGTGCTGATTTCCACAAAAGGTTTCAAAAATTTCTCAAAAGCGCAAGTAGGTACATTTCCCGCATAACGGGTGATATGAAAATGAAAAAATATGGACTAATAAATTATTCTATTCTCCAGAATTCTTGTCCAAAGCTTCTATATTTCCACCTTGATTTTCACGCATGTAGGTGTAGGTACCCTATGCTTTTGTATTCATTTAAAATCAAGCAAATATTTTTGAGCGCCATTATTTACTGCTCACAAGAAATTCTCAATATCTTTAACACAAACATTCACTATTGCACTGACTAATAATGAGATGATTATAAGGTACACAAATTTATTACTGGAATACCTATAAATTTCTAATTCAGAATCAGGAAGATTGATTTCTATTTAACAAAAATTTCTTATAAGTACTTGCCCATAACATTTCCATTGGTTTTATTCATTCACTCACTGTTTGTCACCAGACCCTTCAACTTTTTTATTGAATATTTCCCTTCAACATCCGCCCTCTAAAAAAATGTGTGTTTTTATTTTAAAATCGAGTTTAGAATGGCCTGATCTGTATGTATGGCTGAAAAACGAATTATCCATGACCACTTCTCCTAAAATAAGCCTTTATTAAAGTAATTTTGTTGTAAAACTCACAATATTCATAACTCACTTATTGGATTTTTTTGGCGAGAATATAAAATTTATTGATTCTTTGTTGTAGGTACTGTTATTTTTGAAAACATTCACAAGCGAGTTCACAAGATAACTTTACCTACATCCTTCTTCCCAAAAGCAATAACATCTTGAATGTGTACGTTTGCAAGTGTCAATTATTTTTATTAGTGAGGCACCCCAGAGCCTAATGCTTTTACGCTTGCATTCAATAATATTGGATTTTTTAGGTGTACCAGCTGAGATGTATTATATTAGAGATGATTTGATAAGTTTGCATGCTTTAAATTTTACTATACAATTAACTCCCAAGATAAATGACCTATATTTTACATGGGAAAATACTGGAGGCACAAAAGTAAGTATTAAACTTTAGGTACTTTTATGGGGTGTATCAAAATTCATTAAGTAGCTATCTAAATGTTCTTATTTTAGATCCCATATTCCCTAGAAATAAACACATCAAATTCTGCAGTTATCCCTAAGACTGATGTTAATATATCAACTACTGGCTCTGTTCCTTCGGTCACTCAGACATTTATGGTAGCAGTGGCATGTTCAGGACTCGTCGAAGAAGAAGTTCAGATCTCAATAAACCTTAATTTAACTTTTCCAAATGACAACACAAATACATTGAAATTTTCGAGAAGAAAGACCTGTTTAGATGAAAATATTAAAAATTATGTGGAAATTAACACATTACCTCAGTTCACAAATCCTTCCAGTATCTTTTTCATAGCAATATGTTGTGCAGTTATACTTATATCTATCTTGGTGATTTTCATAACAATCAATTTTCTGAGATATAAAAAGATTAGATCTACTGAGAGTGGAGCTAGCGAACCCACAAATACAACTACAACAACTTTTCTGGCGGCGTTACCTAGAAATAGTGTTAATGCTTCTTCATATGGAAGTTTTAGAAGAATGCCAAGCTACTCATTGATAGATGACAGGTCCAAGGATTTACAAGAACGAATAACTGAATTAACTATACAGAGGTAATATTATCCAAATAGAATATTTAACAGTACTTAATTAATTCCTTCTTGTTAGATTTAGAGTTCGACTTAGTAGCATAATATTAGAAGGCACCTTTGGAAGAGTATACCAAGGCTCCTATATTAATGAAGAAGAAAAGGAAGAGACTGTAATAATAAAGACTGTAGCTGATCATGCTAGCCAAATACAAATTTCATTACTCCTCCAGGAGGGTATGGCGATGTACTCGCTCAATCACAAAAACATATTGAGTATTTTAAGAGTGTCCATTGAGGATCATACTACCCCATATTTACTCTACCCTTTTGATAATAATAAAAATTTGAAGATATTTTTGCAAAAATGTAAAGTATCTTCTGAAGGTGTGCATCATACTTTGACTACTCAAGAAGTTGTTCATATGGCACTTCAAATTATTAAGGCCATGCAGTACTTACATAAAAAACATTTATTACATAAAGACTTGGCCGCTAGAAATTGTGTGTAAGTATAGTTGAAAAGTATTCAAAATATTTATGCCTTAGAAACATCAATTTTTTACTTTTGGTACATTTTAAAAGCTGAAATGAAATAAATTAGCACAAAAAGTATGAATTCAAGGATGAATTTTAAAAAAAAGTTCATGGTAGAAAATTTATTTCACAACATTATCGCATTTTTTTCTTAAATTAATGTTAATTGAACGCCATTAACTGCCCAAAAAGTTGAAGTTAAAATAATGTTAATAAATCAAAAATATGTTCAAAAGTGTATAAGCAAAATGTCACTTTTCAATGTTTTGAAATTCCTAGGCATAAATCCTTTCAAACCATTGGCATAATATTTATTCTGATTTCTTTTATAAATATTAGGGTAGATGAAAAATTAAACGTTCAAGTAACAGACAACGCCTTATCCAGAGATCTATTCCCCTCAGACTACCATTGTTTAGGCGACAACGAAAACCGGCCTGTTAAGTGGTTGGCACTTGAAAGTTTAGTCCACAAATCTTTTGCTTGTGCTTCGGACATTTGGTCTTTCGGAGTACTGCTTTGGGAGTTAACTACGTTAGCGCAGCAGCCCTATATTGAAATTGATCCGTTTGAAATGGCAGCTTACTTAAAAGATGGATATCGATTGGCTCAACCTATAAATTGTCCTGACGAATTGTGAGTGGACAATTTATAATTCCAACTTGATAATAAATATGTTGAAATTTTTTTTCAGGTTTGCAGTAATGGCTTATTGTTGGGCAATGAGCGCCGAAGAAAGGCCGACATTTACACAGCTTCACGTGTGTTTGCAAGAGTTTTACACTCAATTAACCAAATATGTATGACACAGATGCTTCACTTTGCTACTTTACGTTCCTTTGAATTGAGTGCCAAATTTGACAGAATATTTTGCCAAATACTATATTATTTAAGACGTGCACATATTTGTGTAAGTAAAAATAATTGCTTGTGACTTATGTAAATAGTTTGAGTTTATAAGATGCGTACTTTTATATTTATTTGTGATCAAAATAATATATATTCTTGTGACAAATTGGCTTTTATTTTTCGTAATTTAAATTGCCTTTCTTTTTTTTTTTTAATTCAGATTTTTTGTTGAAAGGAGATTGTTGCAATGAGCATATCACTGGCCTGTGTCTTCAGAGTGCTGTAGAATGAGGGGAAAATTTTAAATGAGAAGGACTTCAAGTGATGCCTCCCCTTGTCCTGTCTACAACTGCCAAGTTTCGAGTTCCTTGTCAATACGAAAAATTGTCAAATAATTATTTTCAAGCAATACCGTCTTGGCCCTTGGTATTCAAAATTTTTGAAGTGACGCAGCCCCTGATTTAGTCAAATAGGCAGTAAAAGATACAGAAAAGGAGTATATTACTGTACCCAGGATGCAGAAATATCATGATATTTGTATGTGTATCGAAATATCCGATATTTTATGATATATATATCCAATATGTGATATTTATGATATTTTCATAAAAACTTCAATAACGGTACGTGACCTAGCTTTTTCTTTGGTATAGCAATTTGGTTTGCTATCCTAACATTCCTAATTATTGGAAACTTTCTTTCTCAGGACCGGTTTCGTGAACGGTTATTCAGTTTAGCTGTTGGTTAACTGATAATTATCATTGGTCAACCGACAGCTAAATTAGATAACTGTCCACTGATAAACCGGTCCTCAAATAGGAAACAGCTGCGATGTTCAACTTCTGGTTACGAAAAGCGTTTTGGCGTCTGGTGACTAACTGGTAAAGCAGCGTTTTCCTAGCAACGCACATTTTACGCGGCGTGGAACGTAATTCGGTCGGCGTAAAACGCTGAGGACATGTCTAATGAAAATCGATTGGAAGCGTTTTCCTACACTGCGTAAAAACGACTTGCGCTAGCGTAATACGGTCGACGCAACTGAACGACTGTCTATTCAGTTGTACGCTGCGTGTTGGCAAAGAAAATGCTCCTGTTTTATTATATTTCTATACCTCAACGTTAGGGCAAGTTTTTCAGGTGGCGAAATAGGATGTCGCACGCGATTACGTGATTTCTTACTTAAATCTTTTCTCATAAGATCGAGGAGAAATGAGAATTGCTGCCTTGTTGTAACTCTGAAGTATGCTTTTCAAATTTTACTTCGTCGTCGAGCAGATGTTCATGGATAAGCATTCTAAATGCTCATTCGCTTCTTTTTTTTTGAAATAATTGACTAGAGAATTTCTAGTCCTATCATGAATCGTAGCTATTATATCAATATCGTCTTGCAAATTTTCATCTTGTAATAATAGAGCTATTTATGCAGAAATCACAAACCAGTCAGAGTGAATTTTATTGGTTGAAATTAGTTTTTTGACTGTTTTCAACCAATGAAATTCGCTCTGACTGGTATGTGAATAAAGCCAAAGCTAATTTCTTTATTGATATACTCATCGCGACGATCAGGACACAACTGACAATCCTAGGAAAACACTTTTACGCAGCGCATTGGATGTTGCGTTGCGTCGGCCGTATTACGTTCCACGCCGCGTAAAATGTGCGTTGCTAGGAAAACGCTGCTTTAATGTTAAATATCGCTGATCATATCCCCATATCCTAAACATTCCTAACCACTTATCGTTACCACTTTATAGTACTTTTCGTTACCCATTGAAAACTTTGCAAATTCTCAAATGTCTTTATGGCAGATAAAGTTCAGTAGGTGCTACTACTGTATTAATTTTGATCAAAATGAACCAATAAGAGAAAGTAAACAGAATTTGGTTGCTCATATATCCAATCATTCTTTCAGATTGTACACAGCATTTTTCAACATTTCTGGTTGAATTGCACCAATTTGCTCCAGGATATTGTCTTTCAATTTCCCCAGCATTGTTGGGCGTATTTTAGCAGGCAATCCTGAGGACTGAATTCACAAAGGTAAACTCCCAAGGTTGAAGGCTCATACTCTCAGACGAGACAATGCCAACAAAGCATTATCGGAAAGGCTACGAAGTATTTGGATAGATATATCTCATCCCAGCTAAATTCATTGGAGAAAAATCTTCAAAAATGTTGTGTAGTACACATTCTACCATTTCTTTGTTTTTTAAGAACAGCCTAAAAAAAATTACGGCGATTTAAAATATATAGAAAAACAGGCGGAGGAAAGAGCCATGGGGTTTGCTGCAGGCATAACAGAGATAGACAAAATGACAAGAAGATTCAATTAAATTTCTACAAAAAAAACTAGATAATTTTTGGAATTCTACTTTACGCCATTCTATTGCTAACACACATAAGAATGGCGCTAACTAAAAAAACACCATAAATTGATAAACTTTCTTGTTTTTTTTTCAGTTTAAATTACATTTTTGTAATTTTTCGAGAACTCGTTTCTATTACGCAGGAAAAAATATTTTGGCATTGAGGCGCATCCAATACCCTTATTCTCATGAAGATTTTGGTTAATTTGAATTTACTATGAACAAATGCAAAAACTTCATGGTAAAATTCGAAAAGTCAGCCTTTGAAATAACTTTTGTCCATACACCTACTTCTCAAAACTGGTTACCTACTTTTAGAAAATATCCAAATTTTTTGATGTAGGTACTTCATGTAGATAGGTACCTACCTAATTAAATTGGGCTGGAAAAAAAACATCATCAATTCCAGAGTAATACTCTAGATAGGTAGGTATACTAGCTTTTTACGGGGCTGCAAACTTTTATTTTAGATATTCCGCAAAAATAGGTCTTCGAAATTCTTTTTGAGAAATAACATCAATCTCTAATATTTGCAAACTTTGAAAATGTGTCTATAAAACAACTTTAAATGAACAAAATAAGATATATATTTTAACACCTAGGCGTTTTAAACTTTTTATTATATTAACGGTACCTACATTGGTAAAAAAAAAAATGGCCGCGGGCTTCGCAAAACTAAACAAATGTCCTACTAAATTATGTGAGTAATTGCCTAATTATTCGTTTTTTTGAGTCACTTATGATTACTGAAGATAAAAAATACATTGAAAACAAGTAAAACAATAATAAAATGATCAAAAACAAATTGTTTCAAAATGATTCCTCCAGTACCATATATTTTTTCAGATGATTTATTGGAAACAGGTGAAAATGTAGGCATATATTTTGTATAGTTTCAAATTTTATGATAATAATTCAAACCGAATACAATTTTAGAAATTGAAATTGATAGGTATAGTAGATAAATATAATAATAGCATAGCATTAATATTCCATATTGGCAATTTCCTATGCCATATTTCTTTTTCCTCAAAAATATGATGATGTTAATTATGCTGGTCCAATAAATTTTGATAAAAACCGCTAGCGTTAAAAAGTAGCGCAACATTGTCGTCTTGTAAAGCAGCGATTCGAATTTGGTCACAAGTTCATGAGGCCATCCCAGGACATTGCCTTTTCAGTAAACAAATCTTCAAGAACCGTTTGATAGAATGTGATAATCTTTCTGATCGAGATTGGACTCGCAAATTTCTGTAACTCTTTTTCTAGTAATTTCGTTTTCAATCTTAACTACGAGGGACAACTTAAAACAAATGTTCAGGTCTTATATTATATTCTCATGCTTTTGTAAAATGTTTATATTAGCCTGTTCAATATTACCGTCTTAAATAGCTATTTTAGCTTTTCAATAATACATATACAGGGTGTTTCACGAACATCGAAACAGAGTCGTTTTGGGGTATTATAAGATCGATTTGAAAAAAACGCTCGGACACGTCAATTTTGTATTCAAGGGGAAAACTTTTTTGACCCTATCGGTATTTCGCTAGGGTGCACCCCCTGGGTGGGGTGACTTTCACGCCTCTTTTTTAGATAGGGAAGATGGGTCGAGTGGCACCTTGATTCTCGTCACAACTGTGTACTTTTTTTGAAAATCGAATGATTAGTTCTCAAGATATTGACTGTTAAAGTTGCCATGGGCTGAATAGGAAACAATCTTCTGGCCCTGTTATTCTCAATTTAACGCTTTCCTGACTTTCCTCTCGGACACGTCAATTTTCTTTTTTTGTGTGCTTCCGAAAAAATTTAAATTGACGTGTCCGGAAGGGAAGGAAAGTCAGGAAAGTGTTGATTTGAGAATAACAGTGCTAGAAGATTGTTTCCTATTTAGCCTATGGCAACTTTGACACTAAATATCTTGAGAACTAATCATTCGATTTTGAAAAAAGTACACAGTTGTGACATCTTCCCTATCTAAAAAAAGGGGTGAAAGTCACCCCATCCAGGGGTGCACCCTAGCAAAATACCGATGGGGTCAAAAAGTTTCCCCTTGAATAGAAAATTGACGTGTCCGAGCGTTTTTTTTTTTTAAATCGACCTTGAAATCTTATATTACCCCAGAGCGCCTCTGTTTCGATGTTCGTGAAACACCCCGTATATATAGGTATTAGTAGGTATAAGTAGTTATGGTGCAACCCTACAGTTTATTTGGCGTGATGGGACGCGATCTAGTCTCAACCAAAAAAAAAAAACATGGAAAATAACTTCGACCAAAATGCCTAGAACCGTTGAGAGATAAATATAATTTTTATTTCTTGTAAGCAGACACTTGAGAACAACGTTTTTTTATTCACAAGTGTTCCATTAGCCTGTACAATGACAGTTTCAACCCTATAAGTGAACATTTTGACTATTCTTCAACACCTTTCTAACCTCTCGTCATGAAAAAGGCGATACAAAATATTTACTCTAAATTCAAGTTAAAAAAAAAAACTATTTTCTTAAAATTATATTTAGGAAGATATCTCAGAACTGTCCAAATTCACCGTCTTGACACATTTTATGCAAAATTGACTTACGGCCTGCTCTAGAGATAACAGTAGGAGCGATGCTCTTAGAAAATCAATGTGTGTGCGTACAAATAAATTCACAATTCACCATACTTTGAAAATCACCCAGGTATTATAAGATGTAGGTAGATACCAATAAAATAAGCCTCGAAAAGTACCGGTACTTGAGTATCTATATAAATGAACCTGCAACAAAATCAACCACAAAATCTCTAAACATGTATCGGCTATATTTTCTATTTTGTCTGTTTGCGTGGTCCCAAGCTCAGATCCCCTATTTAGGGTTCTGTCCGGAATATGTGCCGATGGCACATTTTGATATGAATCGGTTTCTTGGAAAGTGGTACGAAGCTGAGCGATATTTTCAATTTTCCGAGTTAGGTTCTCGATGTGTTGTAACGGATTATGCAGTGGGACCAAATGGAAAGCTTTATGTATCCAATGAAGTGACAAACAGATTGTAAGTACCCACCAAAAGATATTATGCGGATGTCAAACATACTTACCTAGATCCAGAGTAATGAAAGTCTCAATTTTCTAAGAGTGCCATCATCTGTTCCTTCTAGGATTGTTTTTCATTTTTCGCAACTTAGACGGTCCTCTCCGATTCTTTGTAGCTGGATCTGGACAAGTCACAATTCTTTTCTCACTTTGAAATGCTTCCTGTACCCAAATCATTTTAAAAGTCCAAGCATTTAGAACTTAATGGTAAAAATGATAATGTCTTTTAGTACAGGGGTGAAACGAGTTATTGGAGGAAACCTTGATCTTTCTTCGAAAAGGACTGATGGAAAGATGGTAATCAAATACAATACCGCACCAATCTCGACAACATCAACTTTAGCTATTTTGGATACAGATTATGATAATTATGCAGTAATATATAGTTGTGGTGGTTTTGGTCCCGTCAATGCCCGTGAGTATTGAATTTTATTTCCTAAATTAATTTTTCCCTAAAAATTTTTCTTAACTTCATACTTTTTCAGAAAGCGCATGGTTGATGACAAGAGAACGAATTCCCGATGCCCAAACTCTCCAAAAAGCGTATGGTGTACTTGACAGATATAAAATTAATCGTAGCTTCTTTGTAAAAACCGATCAAGAAGGTTGCGCAATTGCAGCTTCAGATTTGAATGCTGCTTTGGGTATTGCATCAACGTCTACTAATGTCGAACAAACCGCTGCAATTGATAGTACCAGTAGCCAACGTGAAAGTGTTGATTTCAAGGCTCAACCAATTGCAACCATTTTTTTCAATAAAGCAGCAGATGAATATTCTAGCAGCAACAAGAAAGAAATTGTTGCTGATAAGGAAGTAATATTACCCATAAAAACTGATATTGAACTGTTACCGGAAACTACTAGTTTGAAATATTCCAAAGAATTAGTGAACAAAGTTGAAGAGAAACCTTCAAATGAAACTAAAGCTTCTGAGAATTTCATTGAGAATCATGAAGAGGAAAAGTCCGCAGCAACTGTGGTATTAATGAAACCTGCCGATACTAATACTACGTCTGAGAATATTTTAGAACAAAATTGAAGACAACAAAAGTTAAGCTATACCTATTTGTACAAATAAGTACCTATCTTTTTTGATATTAATTTATTAATTTATTCCACATAGTTTATAATAAATTATTTTAAAGTTACTTTTTTCTAATACTGCAACTTGGTGCAGGCTGAAAACCAATAATTTAATTAAGTTTTTTCTTATAGAAAATATTAATTTAAAATAAACATAATACCATAATGTTAAATTGAAAATATGTTTGGTTTTAAATTTAATGTTATAATTTCTATACCTACCTATACTTTATTTTTTTCCAAGATAGATTTTGGCATTGTCAACTTAGAAACATAAACAATGCGCTAATGCCGCTTATTGGTCGCTATTGTAAAACTGATGTCAACCTGCAGAAACACCTCATTTTGAGACCAGTCAGGGCACTGGCGTATACAAGGGGGGGGGGGGGTAATGGGGGTAAGTACCCCCCCCCAAGATCGTTGCGATGGACGAAAAATATATACCCTCCTACACCTTACAAATAAATCTATTTTTTATATTTTTATATTTTATACACTCTTCCTATTTAGGGGTATGTTTGAAAATCACGGCCGGCGGCCGCTAATTATATTTTAACAACTTTTCGATTTCAATTTCGCTCATGCTATAGGGCCGGTTTCTCAATAGCAAGTCACCTCCGGGTTTAGCATAACTCCAGGGTAAACATTGCAACTGCAACTGGACACGTTTAACCTGTTGCCCAAGTCTTGAAAAATATAGCATTCGAAATTTGATGAATTTGATACGAATTTGACTGACAGCAATGTGAATTAAATGGGAAGCGTTCGAAATCATATCAAATTTCGGATGCAATATTTTTCAAGAATTGGGCTCCTGGAGTTAAAACCAACCCGGAGGTGACTCGCTATTGAGAAACCGGCCCATAGTAAGTATGACGAAAAAACTATTATAGAACAGTCAGACTTCTGCCCTACTGCCAAGTTGCCCAAGTACTGCTGCGACATGATTGCGATCTAAAGGCTGACGCTGGATCCCATTATTGTTTCTCTACAGACTTGTTTTCTAATTTGCACAGTGTCCGCACTGCCCGCATGCCATTTCTAACGAATTTTATTGAAAGGGATAGTGCGCACTGAGTGTATTCGTGTCTTTTTCTACTAGTTTGCATAGGAAGGAGATAAAAATACATTTTTTGCACTGGTTCTACCTATAGAATCTGCTATAATTTGAAAGTTTTTGGGGAATCCCAGAGTTCGGTTTCGTTATTTGTTGGTAGTGCAGAAAAATTGTTTTGAAGGTTCAAAATAAACGTTTTTGGGCGTGGCACCCGGTAAAAAATTTTCGTCTTCGGCGGCGCCTGCGAGCTGGCTTGGACTGATTACCCCCCCCCAGACGCATGGGCTGGATACGCCGGTGAGTCAGGGTCAAGCGTTATTGTTTATGTTTCAAAGTTTTCAATGTCAAAATCTATCTTGGAAAAAAATAAAGTGTAGTTATTATATTTTATGAGCTGATGAGTGTGAAAGTGTTTTCGCAGAAACAAAAAGTGGTAGTTAATCTTCTACAAGTTGACCAAAAAACCTAATATTTTTTGTTCAATTTACGAAATACAGTTCCTGGGGGGAGTAGGAATATAGCGGGAATGTTCAATAATAAAAAATGACCGTTTAATATTTCTTACACCCTTGATATCATTTTCTGATTTCAACATTTAGGATGGAAAGTTCTGAAAGAACATGCACTATCTACAGAGGGTGGCCCATAAAAAGTTTCACATTATTTCGCAAATAAAATAAAAAATGAAAAGAAACACTATTTGGATTATTACATAAAAAAAATACCATATTGATTGGTCTAGTTTGTCATGATTGTCTGTCTATGTAGGTACGGTTTTTTTTTTCAACACATGACTAAAATAATGTTAATATACACGTTCAGCGTTTATTTCATTTCTGATTTATTTTATTTTACGATTTTTCGCTCTTAGAAAACCATGCTAGACAAAAATGATTTTATCAGCACCAAATTGTGCCTTGTTTGGTTTAACAGTATTCCAATTTCAAAGATACAGTTAAGTGTCCATGACATAATATACTTATAAACCAATCTTCGAGTTTTTCTTTGTCTCGGTTCATGATCCTGCTATTCCACAATAATTTGCAATTTTCAAATTTGCAGACAATAATAATACTGATTTTGGGGTTCGTGGGATGCAATAACTATATCAAAACTCAACCCTATTTAAATATTTTTATATTTATTGAAAATAATACAGTATGGTATAAAATAATGTTTAAATAAAAAATAATTAAGCTCTACTGTAGTCAACCAATTAACCAAACTCTAGCCAGAATAAATGCATTAAATATTAAAGACAGTCCGAAAAACGTAAATGCAATCCTTATTGGACAGTCTTGAGCTAAACATAAACTTTCTTTCAGAATATTTCTTATAACTACTTCTTATATATTATGACAAACACCATTTCTTCCTTTAATTTTTTTAAAATGCATGCTTGAATTTTAATTTATACTCAAAGCAATATCGCTTTTAGCTTCCTGTCAATTCTGTACAATTTAAAATTCAAACTTTTAAGGAAATTTAAGTTGGTTATTTGTCTTTAGGTTGATTGATACATACATTATTTGTATAAGATATAAAAAAAGCTCTCTGGGATAAATCTATAGACTGCTGATATGTACACATATCAATACAATCTATACAACTTCAGGAAATGGACGACAGACAGATACAGCATAAATATGGAATAATAGAAATGAATAAGAAAGGAATTCTAATTTATATCACCAGCAACTTCTAAAATAAAATACCACAGGAAATAGTAAGTTACCACAGAAAAAGAAAATTACACTGATTCGGTTGGGCTCTGGAATTCGGATAGAGCATGTATTGGATTTTGGAGTTTTTTCTGTGATCCTTTTCTAACTTTTGCGCGAACTTCTTCTGGTTTTTCGGGTCTCACCAATGGCTTTTTTTCAGGTGCTTTCATCTTCCATACCACAATTGGAGACTACAAAAAAACATAAACTCATATTGCATGACTACTACTTTTATCAGTTTTTTTGTTGGAAGGCCGTGAAAACTAAACCATTTTAATAGTCATGTTTGCAGATCAGCAGTACTTGAATAAATTGCCCTTGTAGTTGTACTCCAATACCCAAACTATTCAGTAGGTACTTGCCCTCAATAGTATGATGTTTCGAGTATTTTAAATATAAGATAGTCATTACCCTAAAAAGATGATTCGACAGGTTGAGTGAGTACCTTCAATTACAATTTGGTGTTTAGAGCAAAAAGGTTTAGATAGGTACATGATTTTTTTCAAGAGCTTGCAAAAATTACATTTTCAAGAGTTGAAAAAAATGCTACTGGTAATGAGCTCCACACAGATTATTATTTGGACTTGATTACTTATTTTTGCTATTTGCAGTGAAAGAAAAGTTTTTGTTATTTGAGATAGAAAAAATACTGGAATACTCTGGTGTAAATTTATGCATATGACATACACTTCTAGGAATTCAGTCAAATTTCTAGCCACCAGAAAAATGGAAATCAGATAAACAATCACTTCAAGAGCCAGTTCAGTTTGGTTTTCTTAAAAGATAATCTGGATAGATTCACAGATAAAAGTTTTAGTTTTACCATTGTATCTGATTAACAATAAAGTAAAGTGGGCATTTCCCGAACAAGCCATATCCTCCTATTGATCTTAAGCAAGATTTTTGATATTGTAACTAGTAATTGTCACACTAACTTTTTTAAAAGAGTAATTTCAGAATGTGGCCAACAGACTTACTTTTCCTAATAATTTTTGAAGGAGTGCCTACTTGTACTAGAATTTTTGAGTAAATTTTAGAAGTACATACTGATTGTGAACTATTACCAAGTACTTTAGTGCTGTACTCAGTCTAGTTCTGGCTATCATTTTAGTTTGATATCCAGAAGATTTTCTTACAAAAAAAGGCCAAAATACTTACCGCAACAGTTCCCTGTCTTGGATATTTTGTTGATGCAACATAGGATGCCTTAACAGTCAATACTACTGCATTCATCAAATTTTTAGCAGCCTGAATTAGAGATGTAGCGCTATCCAGACCAGATACAATTAACTCCCCACTGATGTTTTGCACATCAGCTTTTACCTTAGAGGTAATATTCATTTGATGGCAATACAAAGCGATTCTTTGAAGATATGCTATCAAATCTTTCTTGGTAGAACTTTCTGGGCATTGCTCCGCAATTTGTCTGGTTAGCTTATCAAGTTTTGTGCCGGCTTCTGATATTTTCTTTGCCGCATTAATTACATCCATGGTAGTCTTCAATGGTCCTCTGCCCCGAGTAAAATCAGTCATTTCCATCATGATAACGCACATGTGTTTGGCCAAAACGATGATATCATTACCAGTGTCATCCCACTTAGCCACTTCTCTGTCAAACTTGAGTTTCTCACTTCTGAAGTATTCTACTTGCTGAAGGATCTTCTTACGGTCTTCTTCTGGCATTTTGCCCATAGCTTCACGGGCTGTTGTGATACCACTTATATCAGGATATTCATCAACACCATGTTCACCTGTATGGGCACTCGCTGAAAAATTTAAAATATGAAAAACAATACCTACTTATACAATGAACTAGGTCTCAGTCAAAAAAAATTAACATAAAATATGTACTAAATTATAATAGGCTTCCTCTGTAAATTCCCAGATATAAAATAAAATAAATAATTGTGTTGTATGTTTGGCGTTGGTGTAAAAAGTCGTGGGTGGAAAAATAAATAAGAAAATCGCCTGGGAATTATAAAGTTTAGAAAAACTACCACAATAATTTGGAAGACAGCGTGGATATCAATATACTTACATTTACTCTTAGTCTCCAAAGTATAATTTTCATCAAGTTCAACATCTTCTGGATCCAAATCTTCATCAGCCCTGTTCATAAGAACTGCCCTGCGGATTTCTCTGACGCCATCATAGACCAATCTTGAAGCATCAATAAATTCATTTTCGTCCAATTCTTTAGAGGGTTGACCCTGTTGTCCATTTATTATTGCTTGAACGGCAACTTGTACGCGTTGTGTAAACTTTGGCATCACTTGATCATTGAGCACCTAGAACAATATAATAAATATTGAATTTTACTGAATAAATTTAGAAACGAGTAAGACTCTAAAAACGTTCACAATTAATGTAATCTACATTTAATAGGCAGGTATAAGATGACGATATTTTTCTTGAGGCGTGGATATGTGAATGTTATGTTCAGATTCCTAGAATTATTGAAATCGGACATGTAGGCGAAAAACACCTCACAGAATTGGTGCTCCAAATTATCATATTAATTCTTTGATTGTTTATCTATAATCCTCTTTTGTAATTTTTTCAATATTTTTTTTTTTGTAAAAAAGGTGTGAAAATTAATATTCACCAACAACTAGGCAACTTACAATGCAAGGGGGGTTTCCTAGGTGCCAGTAGTATCAAAAAATAGGAGTGTTCATCAAAAACTGGAACCAATTTTAAGGGGGGAATTTTTGTTTGCCTACATACCCTATTTCATAAACTCAGCCAATCAGACCACAGTAATCAACTCCATATGGGCGACTATACTGATGTTTCAAAGAATAGCAGGGCTCGAGTGTTAGTTTAACATTGATATTTTAAACGATGTTAAAAACGTGTACTTCGGTAAGTAGGTACTTATTGGCTTATTGGATGAAATTTTGCAAACCAAACCTAGAACCAATTAATTTAACAAACCATTATTACATAATTTTGTCATTTGTTTCTAGAATTAAACTTTGTAAGAGTTTTTGTCTACCAATACATTTTATTGATCTACTCTCTGTTGCTAGTATTGCTGGCATAGTGCTTATGAACAAAAATTGCAATATCTATATAATAATATAAATTAAAAAATAAATATTCACCTTTACAGCTTCTAAAACCCTTTTGGTATAGATACAAGGTTCGTAATTATCCATCTCGGCTGCAACAACAACTCCTATCCGTCCAGTTCGACCTCTAATGGCAGCAGCAGTTCTTTCCAGAGTATCAGCTTCATTTTCCTGGAGAGCTAACACACATTTATTCACATCTTCTAAGATGTGATTTTCGGATACGGCCAAGAAATCGTCCACGGTTGTTATGTCATCAATAGCATCTGTTAAAATCCGCACCTAGGATTTTCATATTTTAATCATTAAAAATAATAATCAACACCTTAGAAAAAGCTTACCTGATTTTCCCAAGTAAGTCTAAACGCGTCCATATTCTCTTGAGCAACTTTGCTACGAGGCCTAGCTGCCAAAATCCTGGCAGCATTTATGACTTCTGGGCATAGTGAGTCAATTTGAGCAGCAGCGTAACGCACCATTTTGACGCCGTCTTCATGACTTGACATGCTACACACCAAATTAGCCACTTCTACGAGTTTGTTAGAATGCTCAGTAAATACACCAGCATAGTCTTCAACCTGCTTCTCGTCGCCGTTTTGTGCTGCTTTGATCAAAATAAGAAGAGGGATGCCTGTTTCCATGAAGCTGCAATATTATTTTATTGAGTGAAACATGGTTTTTCGCAAGAAATATACACTTCTTACCTGTCAGAAATATGATCAACAACTGCCTTTCTTAGCTGCCTCCTCAAATCCTTAGTTTTACCCTTCATGTTATCAATTGCCTTTCCTAAACTTTCTGTCTTGTCCTTATTACCCATCTATAAAAAAATAACATACACTAAAATTTAAAAAATTTCATCAATTTGATAGACATTGAAGGTAGAGAGGGGAACAGAGAAGACAGGAATGAAAATTAGCAATTAGCGAGGCGATATAATGAGGGAATAAGTAGTGGTTATTAACACAGATATTATTTGATTTGACAACAGGAATAGTCACATGAATAATAATTGCCAATTATATTTAGAACAAATTTGGAATTTAGAATTGAATGTCACAATAAATAATGCAACTGTTGACCTTAGTATCTGTGAGTATTAATAGCACCTGATAGGTTTTGACTTGCTGACACAACTAAAATATACACATTATTTGCAAAGACACTTCTAAGTGATGTTAGGCAACTATTGGCCTTCAAAAATAGAAATATTTTTGTATTCAGCAACACAAAAAATCAGGTGGAAATATGGTAGCCTAGAACAATCCAACTTTCAACTAATGTTATCAGGCAAATGGTCTGGCAGGATGTATGCCAAAATGCTACGGAACATTCTTGCGTTCTGAAACAATGACGAAGGAAGATGAGCTCCTAACAATTAACATCAAACAGCTAGGAATAATATTTACCCGACCGGTGATTCCCCGAAGCACCTCCAACTGCTACACAAGCAAAAATAACTCTTACAATATTGGTGTTTAATGTTAAGGATTTCATGAAGAGAACCCATGAAAATGCCCTTTTATTCTAGCTACACTAATCATCATGAGTTCTAATTAAGTTATTGCTAATCACAGATCAAAGTTTCTAACAATGTTGAAAAAAACTTACATTTGACATGTATTCTGACAATAGGTCTTGTAGTGCTTGACGTACAGCATTGCATTCAGCAACAATGCGTTCGCGCCTGTCATCTCTTGTGCAGCTAGAATCCGCCATTAGCGCAGCCCCGCTGATTATGCTTTCCAGGCGTTCTTCGAGGGATGGCCTAGTATGAACCTGAAATTTTTTTTTTCGAATAATTCAAGATAGTGTATAATAACCCCGATGATACCTATTCTACCACATGTTCACAGTTTATATTGAGAATGGTATTCTAATTTTATTTTTTAGTAGTAGTTACATGCATCTATAAGTGACTACAAGTACATGTATTGTACAAAATTGGTATATGTGTCATAAAATGAGCCCCTCATTAGGATTTTCCCATTTTATTAAAATAGGTATTTGAGAAAAAAATTATTTTTTTTCAAATGAACATTTCATATTCAAGTGATAAGACCTACCTCATTATAAGCCAAAGGTTCGATGACAATATGTTCATCAAAATCATCAAGAGCTGCTGCTAATTCACCAGGTCCATCATATGGACCCGCAGCAGGAGGTGCCCTACCTTGAGCAACATCATTGATAGTATTAACAGCTTCACAAACCTACACAAATAACAATTAAACATAGTCACTAAAATTCCAAATTACACTATACCTGTTTCAGAACATAATCCCTGTTTGCTTTAGCTGCAGCAAGTTCTGGATGACGTACATACACTTTTGAAGCTGTGAGCAACATGGTTGAATGTTTCTTGAGCACTGCCCTGGCAGCAGCCAAATCATCTCTGAGCTGTGGATCTTTTAATTCTTGCTGCCGTTTAGCTGCCTGATTCATCAGTTCGTTAGCATTGTGTCTAAATGTTTCTATGTTGTCTAACAATTCGTCATTGCTAGAAGCCATTTTGAGTTTTTCCAAGTCGTTTTCCACAATGTGGAGTGATTTGAGCAATAGGTGTACATCCACCATGTCTGCCAGGATGAGAAGCCTCGTAACTGCTGAGAGAAGATTTCTGGCCGCTCTTACCATATTGCTACGTTTGAGCGATGAACATGGGTCTTCTGAGAAATCTCTAGCATCTCTACTCATTTGAGTTCCTATAAAGATTGTTGTAGGTAATATGGGACATTTTAATAGGCTCTAACCACATACAATTCAATTTAATTGCAATTGACCAAGATTTAAATCAATCATTGATTTTTTTTAAAAACGTTGTGGAACCAAGGAAGGAGATGTCTAAGGTAATACCAAAGTCTTTCAAGAAATCAACCACCGGAAGAGTCTGGCCATTCAACATGCCCTGAAAGTTTTGAGAACACCGAAATCTAAGAAAGTTGATAAACTCGGACTTTGAAATATTTAGGCTCATTTTGTTCCTACTTCTAGGAGGCAAATCTGTCTAGATCATCCAGAGAATTCAAACATCAAAACCTTCAATCACTCTAAACATCTTCAGGTCTTCGGTGAAAACGGGTAGTTTACTCGTTGGGAGACAAGAATAGACATCAAAGTTTGAAAAAGGCCAATGTGAGATCCCTGGTAGCCATTTTTCAAGTAGCTAAAGAGAAGGCCAGAAATATTAAAGGAACGCAGCTTACTCAATCATGATCGATTTATGCAAAGGCCTTGGAAATGTCAGTGTAGATGGAGTGGACTTCAGATTCCCCCTATAAGGACTTGTAAGTCGTACAGGATATCCATGCACGAAACAAGGTTTACTTCAGTGGTAACCCAAACTAATCCAAACTGCTAATTAAAACAATGATCAATCTTCCAAAGATGTTGGGTGTAGTGTTGACAATGCTTATGCGAGATAATTTGGTATGAATGAATGAATTTTATTTATGGACTTGCCATTTTGAAATACAATAATTTTTAGTCTAAGTTGTAGTAATCTTATATTTAAGTAAATGTACAACCAATTAATCATATTTTAATTATTCTCTAAACAAAACATGAAATAAAGCAAAACGTCAAGTATTAACAAACACAACAGGTTAAAATCTGTGAAGTAGGTAGTTTAGATTGGAAAAAATATATAGAATAACCTTGACAATAATAATAAAAAGTCAGGCAAGACAAGCACAACAATAGACATGACCTGTGATGATTTCCACACACAATAAAAACTAATAATAAAATAATCACCAGGCAGATTTAATTTGACCCTCAAACATTCCAATACAATATTAAAAAGATCTACATTTAATTTGTTTATCACAGTATTTGTTAGTCTCAAAAAATCTAGTTATAGGAGAATTGTAGTATGATGATACTGTACATCAAATTGTCTGTTGTTTCTTATGCCATGTGGACATTGCAAAACCAACCAAAGATAAAAGCTGAGGTGACTGGATCATATTATTCACAAGTTTAAACAAAAATATACAGGTCCTTGAGGTCCTGAAGCCAACAAACTTGTGGGTAGGGACAAACGTGTCCTCCAAAATTTGAGAAAGACATCCTGCTCAAGACATTCATGGAAAATAGGATAAAGACTTCTAGACAAAACTGAGGTGCAACTTCCAAAAAGCCAGAACTAGGGTATAAAGTTATAATAATGGAAAAAAGCGGAAAAGGACAAAAATAAAATGAAGAATAACAAATAAGACAACAAAAACCATAAATAAAAATAAAAAGCAATGCAAAATAAAACGAAAGTGGGAAGGAAATTTAGGAGATGTCAGTACAGTAGCTGTAGGTACATAATTTTCAACAGGAATTGTACAGGATTGAACAGTACCCTATAATACAGGACTAAGTACAGTATCTTCAACAGGACTTGTGGTAGGAAGAGAAAGGGTTAATTTCTGGAGAAAATCAAAATCATTTTCTGGCTTTGCTGAAAAATGTTGTCTTGGATTTTGTCAAAGATCCGAAAATATGTTCTATATATTACTATAAAAGACTTCTCCAGGACCCTAAAAACCTGTGAGTACCTACTGTTGTAGGACTGGGTACAAATCTGCTGGCACCTGATGACTTCTTGAAGGAAATACTCAAATAAGGTGAATCCACTATGGGATATCTCTAGAAGCAGATTCAAGAAAACAAATCGCAACAACATACAGGGTGTCCCACAATCAGCGTTACAGGCCTTAACTTTCTTATTTTTAGAAATAAAAATTTGAAAAAAAAATGACTTTGAAGTTTCTGAATCGTCAGAACATCAGATTATGAAGATTCAGAAACTTCAAAGTTGATGCATGGAGTTCCGCAGGGGTCTGTTCTTGGGCCTATTTTATTTTTAATTTATGTGAATGACCTAGCCGGGCTGTCGATACTGGGGAGATTTGTAATTTTTGCAGATGACACAACAATTCTTTGGAAACATAAAGATGACAATGTTTTGGCCAACATAATAGAGAAGGATTTGTGTTAGGTTGGAGAGTGGTGCGATGCTAACTGTCTTGTGTTTAATGTCAAAAAAACAAACATACTTTCATTCAAGTGCTCCCTTATCGGAATCACACTCTGTGACAATAGTCTGGAAGAAAAGGAGGTAGTGAAATTTCTGGGACTCCACATAGATTCAAAACTCAAATTTGACAGACATATTGATCATCTCAATGAAAAATTAGCCAAAGGATGTTACATTATAAAGATCCTCGTCCATGAACTGGGAAACCTTTCAGCTAAGACAGCCTACCATGCCCTAATTGAATCACATTTGAGATATGGTATAGCGTTCTGGGGATATTCAACACAAAGTGCTATTCAATCGGTTTTTGTTCTACAAAAAAGAGCATTGAGATATCTTTGTCAAGTTGGATGCAGGGAGAGCTGCAAGCCTCTTTTTATCAAGCATGAAATTCTAATGGTTCCATGTATCTGTATATTGGAAACTGTATGCTTGATATTTAAAAAGTTCCAGGGGTTGGAAAGAGATGAAGTACAGTATAACCTGAGGCATAACAACTTGCCCTTACCTATACCTAGATCGACATTGACAAAAAATTCTATAATGTATGAAAGCGTGAAAATGTATAACAACTTGCCAAATGATATTAAAAATATCAAGGAATATTTCGCTTTTCGTGACAGTACAAAAAAATTTTTGGTTTCCAGAGCATTTTTTTGCTTACAGGAATTTTATATTTGATCCATCACATTATTATACGTATTTTATAAGTATTGTCTGCACTAGTTCCTTAAATTGTGATTGTGAATATCTTGTTCCATTTTATATTTTTTTTATCTTTTTTGTTTTTCATGACTTGTTTGATCTACACCACATATTATATTAAGTTTTAAGTTGTTTGTCTTTCTCACTGTTTCTTGAATATTTTTTTTTAACCTTTTTTTGTTCTGTTTTCGACCCGAAAGTTTCAAAATATTTTTCTTTATAGTTTTAAGGGTATGACATTGATTTAAGTTAAGAACTTATATATATTATGCTAGCTAGTTAAGTTAAGTTGCTTTGTCAATGATTTTGTAAAGGAATTTCGACAATAAAGTTTTTTTTGAATTGAATTGAATTGACTAATGGTTAATTAAGCTCTCTTCAAAAATATAAAAAAATCTTCCCCTGACAAAATCATCCCCTATTTACAACCCTTCACTTTTTTTTTTCAAATGGCACCCCTAATTTTTTTTTATTTTTGAGAAGTTCATGAAATTGCAAATTCAATGATGTATGAAAAGTTTGTTTTTCCATGTTTCATTGGAAAAAAAAAATCAAAAATGAAAATAATAATAATGGGGTTCTATTTGGAAAAAAAAAGCAAGAGTTGTTTTTAGGGGATGAGTTTGTTAGGGAAGATTTTTTTAATATTCTTGAAAAGGGGTTAATTTGCACACAATTAATTTTTTTTTGTCATATTTTTATTTTTGTAGACAAAAATGTGATTGCCTGTACAAGACTAAGGGTGGGACACCCATTTTTTTTCCCCCAAGAGACCTGGAAAAACAAACTTTTTATACACCATTCAAATTTGTAATTTCATAAGCTTCTCAAAAATAAAAAAAAATAATAGGGGTGCTATTTGAAAAAAAAAGTCAAGGGTTGTAAATAGGGGATGATTTTTTCAAGGGATGACTTTTTAATATTTTTGAAGAGAGCTTAATTCGCCATTCATAATTTTTTTTGTTTCAAATTTTTATTTTTGAAAATAAGAAAGTTATGGCCTGTAACGTTGATTGTGGGACACCATGTATATGGAGTGAAACATATTAAATACACATAGAGAAAGAATATGAACATGTAGAGTAAAGTATAAGTACTTACACATGATAACGTGTGTACATTCCTACTACTTTAGGAGTACCTATTCAAGCAGTTATCGAGAAACAAATTGACACTGAATGAAGACCAGTCATTGATATAACACATAACTGAAGAAAAAAAACAGCAATAGTACAAAAGTCATAAATAGGTAAGTACTTATATTGATTGATTGATGATTGGAGTGGAAAAGGTAAAAATGGAACTGATGGAATTAAACTAGGAATTAGAAGAATAGACTCGGGAATAGATATAAATACAAGAAGAAAAAACGCCATGGAACTATTGGGTTAACAATAAAAATGGATTGAAACAAACATGTAGGGCCTTACCTGTTTTTCTAACTTCATCAACGGCAGCCAACATCTCCTCAGTGATATCAGGATTTTCATAAGCGATTTGTTCGCCTTTTTCTATAAAATTTTCAGTGGCCTTTTCAACAGTCTGTACTAAAGCATTGGCACGTTTAGATTTGCCCTTTTTCTTCTTGGAAGGCCCGTTTGTGTTAACGAGAGTGGTAACTTGAAGTACCAAGGGCTCCAGTGTTTTTTCCACTGACATTGTCCTTATTTCTAGATTTTTTGGGTCCCATTTGAGACCAAAATGATCACCAATCGTACCCAATGGCAATGCAGTCATAGTAGTCATCTTTGACACCTAACAAAATGAAAATATATGATTTAATTTGCAATGAATCAGATTGTGTTGATTCATTCCTCATTCAAATAATGAATGGAATGAGTCATCCTATTAGTAACTGATTCCCTTTAGCACAGTATTTACTCTTTGTTTTCTCTTGTCTCTATGAATAAAAATACCTAATAAAAAATACTCTTTTGCGTATTTTACTAGGGAAATATAGGTCTTTTTTCACCCTTATGAGAACCTTGCTAAGAACAGTGAAATATGTAAATACCAAGGAAATTCCTGAACTACTATGATCAACCAACATGAACATACCACTCCTACTTACAAAATTTTCCAAAAATTGTAAATATTCGACACGTTTCGAGTATACACTAAAATAAATATGAACACCGACTTTCAAAAAAACCTTTAGCTACCCTTCTATATGATAAATTCCACTAAATTATTTGAAAACAATTAAAAAACACAGGACTGTACACTTTCCTTTGCATTCCGATTGCTACGCTACGACATCAAATTTTCTACGTTTGTAATTTCTTGAGTCTACGATTTTAAACAGGGTTGCCAAGTTATCTGACTGTCCGACTCAAATTCCTGAAAATGGAGGTAAAAAGTTCAGCCTTTTTATCAAGCCCCAAATATTTGGTATAATTTTATTTTATGAAAACCTTGTTTTGTTTATCACGTTAATTTATTGGTATTAACATAAAACATAAAATAGGTATGTACTTATATGTAATGTAACATAAACGAGGGCCAGAGACTCAGAGATACCCAAGTACCTACTGCTTACCGGAAACAAAATAAAAAGGTTAAATTTCAACATTGAAAATGTTTCTGTTATCGTAAGTACCTATGGGGGCCCAAATCCCGAAAAAGTGCATGCAAAATTTTGCCATATGACGTCACACACGTCACATCATCTATCAAAAAAAATCCGTTTTAATTCCAATTCCAATTAATCACATAAATTTTGCATTTTATTTGATCGTTTTCAATGTCCTCCCGGTTGCATCTTCAGGCGCGTTCTCACGATTCGAGTTGATCAACTTTAATGGACCAACTAAAATAGCTGTGCATGAGAACATGCTTCAATTTTAATTGGTTATTTCAATTGATTCTACAAAAAATTGATCCATTCAAACTTTATCGTTATCGAATCGCGAGAACGCCTTTTGCGAAGGACTGTGTTTTTTTTTCAAGAAAATAACGTCGTACCTTTCCTGAGTTTTCTACCAAAAGTGAAAATCGAAATTTTTTTCGATTAGAGGACAATCTGCAATTTGGCAACTCTGCTTTCAATATGTCAGAAAGGTTGTGGGGTTGTAGACCAGGGTTGCCATGTTGCCAATTAATTGCTACTGATATTTTGAAGCTGTGGTTGTGAGATCCGGAAAAGTCAATCGGCGAACCCCAACACGATCTAAGTAAGCAGTGATTAAAAAGGGTGATTGACATGAAAATTTTCATCAATTTTAAATTTAAAGTGTATATTTTCGTATTAATCAATGATTATTTTTAAACGTCAACGGTGCATCATTTACAGGTTCCTGAAAGGAAGCTACGAGACAATGAATAGTTTGTACTTTCACTACAACTCTTGCAAATAGATGGTGCTACGCGGAATTTCTTCAAATGGATATCTATCATAAAAAATTAAAAACAACGTATTTGATGTAGGCACCTAATAATAGAGTCATCAAATAGTTTCCAATTTTTTATGATGGATGTCCATTTAAATCCCATATATTCATATTTAAAATTAGCAAGAGGTAGGCCACAAAATGGCGGCGCGACCTCTATTGTCGCCCATATATGGAATGACCTAAAACAGTATTATCTGGATTTTCCATGGCAAGAGGTTTGCTTTAAAACAGCTGATCCCACTATTTGCTGTAATGAAATAACACAAGTAATCTTATCTGGAATGGACGCATATATCCCACATACAACTAAACGTAGAGCTAATGCAAAACCTGGGTTCAACAGCCAGTGACAAACGGCTGTACAGAAAAAACACACAGCATATAACCTTTGGAAACGACAACAAACCGCTCAAAACCACACAGAATTTATAGAAGCCCAGAAATAGTTGCAAAATTACTATTGACTCCGCTAAAGAAACATACAATCAAAGAATAAAAAACAGGTTGCTGAATTGTCCAAGTAGTTCTAGGTCTTTTTGGTCTCTTGCAAAAGCTGTTGGATCTAACTTCACCAAGTCATCAATACCACCACTTACAGATAAAAATAATCACTTAGCCACAACATCAGAGGAAAAAGCCAATATGCTTGCCCAAATGTTTTCCTCCAACTCCAACCTAACAGTGCCAAACGGAAAAACTCCACCGTTCATTGAAAGGGTTTCCCATAGTATGCCAGAGGTACCCTTTTGTCACAGAGAAATACGAAAATCCCTAAAAAAGCTGGCTACAAACAAAGCAATGGGTCCGGATGGCATTCCCGCAATAGTACTCAAAAATTGCGCCAACGAACTCACTCCAACTTTCGCAAAATTATTCAATTTGTCTTACAGGCAAGGAGTATATCCATCATCATGGAAGTCTGCCGCAGTACAACCCATTCCAAAGAAAGGAAAAAAGACAGATCCGTTAAACTATAGACCAATTGCTCTACTTCCGGTGATATCAAAAGTAATGGAAAGAGTTGTGAACAATCACCTAACCAAGTACTTGGAAAAGTACAAAATTATCAACAATAAGCAATAGGTACGGATTTCGAAAATATAGGTCAACTGGCGATTTACTTACATACGTCACTCACTTATGGCAAAAAGCGATTGAGTTGCGGGGTGAAACAAGAACAATTGCCTTAGATATATCTAAAGCATTCGACAAAGTTTGGCATGAAAATCTGCTCAACAAGCTCAAAGCAATGGGATTATCGCCGAAACTTTGCACTTGGTTTGAAAGTTACCTAAAGGACAGATCCATTTATGTTGCACTGGATGGCCAGAACTCCAACTCTTACCAAATAAATGCTGGTGTGCCACAGGGAGCATTCCTTTCGCCAACTCTTTTCCTGATTTACATAAATAACCTCATAGATAAAACAGTAAATCCACTTTATTGCTTTGCAGACGATGGCAATGTAGTCTCCTCACTCATACCACCCACAGGTCTTTCCGCACGTGAATTCCATCATGTTAGACTAACTCAAATATCGCAGATAAATAACGACCTGGAGATAATAGAGGACTGGGGTAACAAAAACCTTGTACAGTTCAACGCGCAGAAAACCCAAGCAGCTCTGTTTTCAAAAAAGACCAGCACCGGTGAGCCAAACTACATGCTATCTGGAAGTGCTGTCACATTACAGAGCCAGTTGAACATCTTGGGGGTTACTGCAGAGACCAACATGTCTTGGCACAGTCACGTGGCAGATATTGCTAAAAGGGCTTCCCAAAAGCTGGGGGTGCTATTTCGTACAAGACATCTGTACACACCAAGCCAATTGCTGACACTCTACAAAGCCCAGATTCGACCAACTATGGAGTACTGCTCACATATATGGAGTGCAGCACCCAAACATACCTTAATGCTTTTGAATACCGCACTTACTCGTAACTTGGATGTTCTCGAACATCGCAGATCTGTGGGCGATTTATCTCTCTTCTACAGGTACTATCACGGAAAATGCTCTGAAGAGTTGGCACGTATGATTCCACCGAGAGTAGCACCTACCAGGCGAACCCGTCAAACAGACGGTAACCATGAATTTACTGTCAAACTAGAGGCACCAAGAACCTCATTATATCAGAATTCATATCTCTGGAGAACAGCATCGCTGTGGAATAAACTCCCTGCGAAGGTTTTCCCTGCAGGTTACAACCTGAACCGTTTCAAGACCAACATACACCGACATTTCCGCGCACTTGCCGCTTCTCGAGCGTGATAGGACATTTCCTTGCGAGTGCGCATATCCGTAAAAAAAAAAAAAATGTTTGTAAAGGTTTATTTAGTCATTGTATTTCTATATACACTGACTAAATAAACCTTTACACACAGAGGCGAGAATAGAAGTTCCGCCACCATATTGCTCCTCACTTCTTGCTAATTTCAAATATGCATATAGGATTTACATGGACATCACACTATCATAAAAAAATTAAAAGAACATATTGATGTCTATATTATTAGGTACATCAATTACGTTGTTTGTAATTTTTTATGATGGATCTCCATTTAAATCCTATACAGGGTGAATCTGAAAGTGAGGGTTTTTTTATAACAGGGTATATCTCGCCAAAATAAGTTGTTTGGCAAAAAATTGTTTACATAAAAAATTTAAGATAACGGAGTTACAGCTATTTGCACCGGTGTTCCTTAAAAACAAACTAAGTTAGGTAGAGGCTAAGCTTAAGGTGAACCTTTAGGTTGAGTTGCTTTGCACGGACCAAATCTTAGCTAAGAATTGAAAGCTATTGGCAACAGCGCAAAAATGCATATTTTAAGGCAGAAATGAAGATGGAGGTACCTATTTCATGCAAGGAATTTATCCGTTAACTTATCCTTGCCATTAAAATATAAATATTTTCGTTAATTTCGTCTTTTCTTTCATAAGTTATATCACGTGGATATTATTTTGAATATATTTTTGGCATTCTTGTGCAAAATTCTGTAGAAATTACCCGACGCACAAAAATAAAACCATTAACAAATAACTAAATAATAGCAACAACCATAAAAAAAAACTTCGGAAAACTTGTTTTTGCTATGAAAATAAACATATATATTTTTTTTTTGCTTAAAACATGCAGTCTTCGGAGAAAAGGCCTTGGAACCTTGGATATTACAAATACAAAATCATCAATAATCAAAGTCAACCAGAATTCTGTCAAAAAAAGAAAACAAAACCCAAAAATGAGGTTAAAATCCAACTAAGCGGAGAAAATCTGGGGCTTAACTTAACTAGATTTGAGGTGAACCCGAAACAGCGGTGCAAAGCAAAATCGTAGTTTAAGTTCCACTTAAGACCAAGGCTGACCTTAAGTTGTAGCAGTGCAAATAGCAGTTATACAGGTATTTCAGGGTTATGTGCATTAAAAATCTAATTTCAATAATCTAAGATTTAGTAGAGAAAATATGATAAAAATTATCAATAGTAATATAACTAGTGCAATGAAAATTATTGATAATTTTTGGGAAATTTGCCCGAATGCATTTTTAGTTGAAAAAGAGCACGAGTGCACGTAGTGCACGAGTGCCTTTTTCAGTTAAAAACGCATGAGTGCAAATTTGTCGAAAATTATAAATATATTTCCATTGCACGAGTTGTATTTAATGAGAGAATTCCATGAATCAAAAATTTAAATTTTTTGTCAAAAAATGTCAAAACACCAGTTTTCACACCAGTTAGTATGCAATTAATTATCTGATAATTTGAACTAGTGCAAATTACAGTGGCTAAATAAACCTTTACAAACAGTGGCGACAATAGAGGTCCCGCCGCCATCTTGTTCCCAACCTCTTGTTACTTTTAAATATTAATATA